TCTATGCATAAAAATAAAAACAAATTATTGTTATTATTCTTTTAAAATATTGCACTGATAAAATTTACAAATTTGAACATCCTAATACTGAAATTCTTGTCCAAATGTACTAACTTTACATTAATCTTTAAGTTTCTTTTGCTGAACACAAAACTGTAAACATTAACTTTCGTAGCATTTGTATTTAGTTCAAGTCAGGGGTTTCAGGTTTCGAACATTCTTCAAAACATCTTCTTTTGTGTTGTTTGCATACTATGAATTAATACAGAAGAGATTATCCTTCAATAAAAATTATATAACAAAATATTGGATGACATCACCTCTGAGTCAGGAAAAACCCTGCAGATGTCAAATTCACCTCAGCTGTTGCAGAAATTAGCTTGAAGCTATTTTTTTTATTCTTTAATGGCATTAACCAGTGTAGTGCTAAATTTTGTGTCAAAACACTGTTTAAAAGATTCTTAAGACTTCTTCTTCTTTCTTTTTTTTTTTTAAAATAGAAACATAAAAGTCTTCTCCACAAACTCACTGCTGTCTCAGAGTAGTCCCGGCTGCTTTGGGGGTGATCTCATCAGCGGACGAGGATTCCTCCGACTCACTGTCGGATCCAGTGGCGAAAAAACGCGACATAACAGATGGCAGGTAACACTGAAACGAAAAACACAGACATGGTAAGAAATCTGTAATGAGAGAGCAATACTGTGTCAAAACTAATTCCTGTATATTATAATCATTAGCAGCATTAAAATTCTGTTTAAAATCATATCACAAAAATCACAAATATCACAGCTGATGTTTATGAGAGGAGAAAGGCGTGCATACAACCCTAATAAAGCATAATGTATCATAAGACTGAATTTCTCTAAATGACCAACATGATCAACAGTGTGCAGAAAATAATGTACATACTAGGGGTAAAGTTGGTGTTATATTCACACGTTCTGACTTAAACCATCTGTATAAAATTTCAGAAAAGTATCCTATGCAAATTATAAATAAAGAAATCATTTTAGCAGCCAATGACTATCAAAGTACAACATTGTTCGCAGTCAATTACACGCAACATAACTCCTATTTAAAAAAACTGCACTGGCCTCCTGTCAGTATTCAAATTGATTTTAAAACCCTCATGCTTGCCTATGAGGCCTTCAATGGTCTAAAAATATTTATCTGAGCTTTTATTCCCATACACTCCAAGATGTGTTTTACATTCGTCTGATGCTGGTCTTTAACTGCTCAGTCAACACTGCTAAAATCTATGGGAGATTGAGCAAATTCTTAATAGGCACCTAAATTGTGGAACTCAACCCTCCGATATTGACAATGGATTATCCATTAATATTTATATTTATAAAATTTAATTTTTTAGTACATCTTTTATTTGATTTTTCTGTTAATATTATTTTATGTTTAAAGTAATTTTTTATTATTAATTTTTTCTTTGCATTTATCTTTGCATGTATCTTTTACTGCTGCACGTTTTATGTCTGTAAAGTGTCTTAACATGCTACTTTTAAAGCTGCTAAATAATAAACTTATTTTTTAATCAATTAAACAGTGCTAATTGTTTTGAATAAGTCATAATTGCAAAAGTAGTATAATATTCAAAGTAGCATGGTAAACAATATAGGGACTGTCACAAGTTGTACCTTTGTTTAAAAGTTTTTTTTTTTTTTTTTTACCTTTGTTTAAAAGTTAACAGTCGCAAAAATATGTCATTTTAAAACCTTACGGCAACTTATGGAAGTAGTCTGTTACATTTCTATAAAGATCTCACACCTTTTAAATAAGCTTTTAATCAAATTTTACGTCTTGGGAAAAATATTCTTCTAGCAATTATGTTGTCACAATGACTTGTTCGTTCTATATGAATTAAAAGCCAGATGGTATGGTTACGATTTCTGAATCTTAACAACTATATATTTAGTCTAAAAGCTCATCAAAATACCATTTTAAATAAGTTTGATAATTTTTTGTTGTAATTAATTATCATAGACATTTAAACACACATTGGCCCCGTCTGTTAAAACTTCCTTGCTTGAAAAGTGATTCTAAAATGTTTCTGGATTCAACCACATCACTTTGCAAAATAAAGCAAATACAGAAATAAATACAAGATACATACAAATGAGGTAAAGTTGGTTTTATACTCACACATTCTTTCAGTGGCAACTTGTGACGGGGTCCCTATATTGTTTACCACACTACTTTAGGTAGTAAACAATGTAGGGTATATAAGGTCTGACATCTAATATAAGTATGACTTCAAATCAACATTAGCACTATTTAATTGACTGTAAACAATGCTGTACTTTTATAGTCATTGGCTGCTAACATGATTTTATCTATTAAGAATTTGTAAAGAAGTTTTATGAAAGTAAATCATTAAGGAGCAAGTCTGAATGTCCAAATATATAAACAACTTTACCTTAATATACATACACATTGTCAGAAGATGGATGTCAACTTTACCTCAGTTATTGCATCAACAATGCACATAAAACAGTTTTTTACTCTATTTATTTTTTAATATCAATATCAGTGTTAGATTTATAGGTTTAAAACCGTTTCATATAGATTCATTTTAAATAAAATTATAATTTTAGACACAAAACTGATAAAGAAAACTCATTGTTTAGTAACTTAAAACTTGAAAACGTCATCAGTTACTACCTCATTAAACATTGTTCAAACCTCTGATCGGGTTATTAATAAATAATAACCAATAAGCCATTAGCTATGCAATAACACATATGTAACCTATAATAAGTGATTACTGTGCAGATCCATCAGTAACCGTGTGGGAAAACGTGCCGCGGCCGCTGATTCAGGCCTAACGGATCAAACCTGTACATTTAACCGACAACCCCCGTCAATGACACCCACGAAACGCACCTGTTATTTGTTAGAAATGTAAAATCCTCGTTTGTCCTCCGTTTGTGTAGAATTTAGATCCAGATTTGCAATTTTGCTAGCACAATTTACAGCGTGCGTCAAAGCCCAGTCGGCTTCTTCCAGAAAGAGGAAACGAACGACGGAGCGGCGCCAAACCCCAAGCGCATGCGCTGTAGCGACTCCTGCTGGCCTGGAGCTGCAATTCAGACGACAAACTTGACATGTTTTATATTTGAGGACAACGGGTTTATGACTTCACCTATATAAATGTTCTCAGGAAATCTTATTTTTAAAAACAGTTAATGCAGTGCTGTTTGAGGAAACTGTTATATACTTTGCCAGGATTCTTGTTTAGTCATTACATGCCTCTTGCATTGTTCATATATTTTTATTGAGCACACTAAAAACAACAAACTAGCTTTGAACCTCAGCTTTATTATGCACTCCATTTTTAATACTTACAAATTAAACCTACAAACATTTAAAACATTTCTACATTAAGTTTTTGCACCAAATCGATAAGATAAACTTACCTTGATGTTTCAAATTCGAGGTAAAATGGTTTTATTCACCTTTATGAATTTGTGCTCAATAAATATTTTGTGCTACTTTTAAAAACAGTTAATGCTGTACTGATTTATGTCTGTGAAAATATTGTTAATCATTACACATGGACTTAAATAGCGATTATAGACATGCATATTGCTTGATGTAACAGAGTCAAATAATAACAACAATATTAAGTGGTCAAACATTTATTATATATGCTAAATTATTAAAAACTTGAGGTGCAAAATGGTAAAAACTAGTGATTTGAAGAATATTGGTAAAGTATAAAGGTTTAAATTGCCAGTGAATTACTATTTTTAAAGTTTTACAACCCAAATAATGAGTTATATACAGTATTCTTGTAAATAATTGTGTGTATATATATATGTGTACATGAGCAATATCACACGAGTAGCAGTGCGATTTGGCTGCATATCGGCACTGGTGCGAGGCGTGCGTTGGCACAAGGTCTGGATTTTCTTGATGAATCATCTGCTGAACTGCATCCCAATCATCACAAATACTGCAGAAGACCTACTGGAACTTACATGGACCCGAGATTCTCACAAAAATCAGTCAAGTTTGGTGAAGGAGAAATCATGGTTTGGGGTTGCATTCAGTATGGGGGCGTGAGAGAGATCTGCAACATCAACAGCCTGAGGAATCAAGACATTTGTGCTGCCCATTACATTACAAACCACAGGAGAGGGCGAATTCTCCAGCAGGATAGTGCTCCTTCTCATACTTCAGCCTCCACATCAAAGCTACTGAAAGCAAAGGTCAAGGTGCTCCAGGATTGGCCAGCCCAGTCACCAGACATTAACATTATTGAGCATGCCTGGGGGTAAGAAGGAGAAGGCATTGAAGATGAATCCAAAGAATCTTGATGAGATCTAGGAGTCCTGCAAGAACGCTTTATTTGCCATTCCAGATGACTTTATTAATCAGTGATTTGAGTCAGTGCAGAGATGTATGGATGCAGTCCTCCAAGCTCATGATGGAGTCAGACACAATATTCATTCTGTTTCCACTGCAGCAGGACTTTATATTCTGTACTGGACATTATTTCTGTTTAGTGACAAGACTTTTTGTCTAAGCAAAGTCAGACCTTACTGTCCTAATTAAATCATTAAAAATCAAGGCATGATCATATTTTAGTAAGATTTTGGTAAAATAAGCGTAATCTAAAGGCCTTTGCTTTAAATGTAGGCTACTTCTGATACCAAATGATCAACTAGAAGTCAAGTTATTACCTGTTGTTCATAAAACTTACATAGGCGACAAGACTTGTCAAGTAGTGTACATACATGTATATATTAAAATAGCTTAAAATTATATTTTATATAGAATAAAAAGCTTTTTTTTTACTTTTAGATCTCATCTTATATACCTATACATCTTTATATTTGATTTTAACATCTCAAGAAATATCACAACAATACCCAAAATAAACAGTTTTCCTAGTATCTAATCTGCAAAGAAATCCGAGATCATAAACGGTGTACTGATGGCAAGGTTTGTTCATAAAAAAAGGAAACAAACAGAAAATCCGTTCTTAAATTTATACAAAAGTACATTTTATTTTCACAAATTAAAAATAAGAATCAACAATAAGTCCTATAGAGAGAACAGTCAAGAGGGAAAAGCACATTTCTAACTCCAGTTCTGTGTGTGTGTGTATGGTTAATGTTTTCCAGTGTAGTTAATGTCCATATACATATGACCACAGAATCTGCAGTCATTTCCTTCGCAAAAAACAAAAAACAAACAAAAAAAAAAAAAAAACGGGGAAATCTGAAACTATAAGGACTCTGCTGAAAGCCGATGACTGTAAATGTAATCAAAGCAGGGTCGTGTCAAACCCATTCTCTAACAGATTCAAAACTTGCATGAAAAGAGAATAAGAAGAAAGGAGTTGAAGAAACAACAAAAAAAAGTCTCCATCAACCAGTTTTGACCTCCCGCTTGGACAAATACAGCTTTTTCTGAGGAACACGTGAAACCAGCTCTTCCCCAGAAGCTCTTCCTCTCTCCCTACCGCTATTCACATACATAATAAAGGTCTACATCTACAGCATACCGTGAGTCTGAGATTGAGAGAATTCACAGCGGAACATAATGCCAATGTGTGTCTTGATGGCCCAGTGAAAGAATGTGAAAGTGGATGGAAAGTAGAAAACAAAAACTGAATATTACAGAGAAAGTAAGAATAATAATAATAAAAAAAGCACAATTAAGACAGTTGGGCAGGGAAAGGGGAAACAGAAATACAAGTACACACAGGGCACCACTTCCTGTTGAGAGTGCTGGCATCCGGGAAGCTCACAGGAAGTAGTCAGCGACTGGCTTTTTGGAGGGAATGCCTCTGGTTTCTTGCGGAGCGGCTTCGAAAATGATGAACTCTTTCTGCAGATGCTCGTCCAGCTCGAGGATCGCTGCCACGTTCCCACATCTGTGAGGAAGAGAAGCAGATGTCAATATGCTGAATCATTGACAACGTTTGTTCTTAAAGGGATAGTTCACCTGAAAATTAAGGGTGCTTTCACAACTGTGGTTCAGCTCATTTGGTCTGGACTAAAGGCAACAAATCATATACTGTAGTATTTTCTGCCGTCTTTGGGTCGTTTTCACATCACACTGATTGCTTTGGTCTGAACCAGTCGAAAAGAACCAAAATGCAGTCATGTGACAAACTCCACATCACTCATTGGCTAGATGTTTTTGAACGTATTCCCAAAACTGCTTTACGATTGGTCGGAATTAACGTGCGGGAAAATGCCAATGGAACTTCCACGGCGACTGAAGCCCTGCACAAGACTTTTGGCCAGCGGAGAAATTAAAATGTTCGTGCCCAACTGAGTCTGGTTCTCTCAAGGTTTTTTTTTTCTTCACTCCCATCAGGTGAAGTTTTTTTTCCCTCTCCGCTATCGCCACTGGCTCGCATGGTTCAGGATTGGTAGAGCTACGCATCGATGAATTTGCTCTTCAGTGTTTGAACTCTCAGTAATGATTAAATCACACTGAACTGAGCTAAGCTGAACTGAACTGAACTTAAACTAAAAAACTGAACTACACTGTTACAGTTACTAGGACCATTTATGTGAAGCTGCTTTGACACAATCTACATTGTAAAAGCGCTGTACAAATAAAGCTGAATTGAATTGAAAGTGAACAAACAGGCACACACAAAATGTTGGTTTTGACTATGGAGGTACGACTGCGCTGGCTGATTGTATCCCTGCTCATAGTATACTATATAGTTTGTATACATCACTTTAGACTCTATATTTAGAGAATGAAGCGTGGCTGTGGCTGAAAAACAATGTTTTAAGGCATTGCAAACGGCTAAGGCGCACTGCAGGTCACTTCAGGAGGAGGCGTGAATTAATTTAGCTAAACTGTGACATGGTCATCTTCCAGAAATATTACTAACAATCCATCAGGTGATGCATGTTTCTCTCTCCTTTTAAAATTGTTGGTAAAGCGCTGTCAACAAATATTTTCCCTCCACATCCCACAATGCACAGAGCATTGGCCTACTGCAGCTGGATTAGGCCAAAAAGGCGCAGTACTTTTTGCGGTTGGGTCCGTTTTAGTTTGGATCATATTCTCATTACAAACGAACCGATCCAGGGTTCGTTTGAAAGCATACGGAGACAACTTCTTCAGGAGGTCTCAATACGGTTTTTTGTTCCACTTTTGGTGCGCACTCGAGTACGATTGCTGCATTCTCACCTGCCCAAACGAACCACACCAAGAGGGAAAACCAACTCTAGTGTGATTCAACCGAACTAAAGAAGGCAGGTGTGAAAACACCCTAAATCAATGTCATCTTTCTATCAGTTTATTAAACTTTTACAGAAATAATAGGATAGTTTTACAGGAAGATTTAGACCAATATTATTTCCAACCATTCCCCCATAAACAAATCTAAATTACAATTATACACACACACAAAAAACTGGAAAATACGTAAAAATAAAAAAGCATAGTGTCAATTATGTATAAAATGTATACAGCGGGGAAATAAGTATTGAAAACATCACCATTTTCCTCAAAAAACATTTCTAAAGGTGCCAAAGAAATTTTCCCGAGATGTTGGTAACAACTTAAGAAATCCATATATAAAAAGAAAACAAATCTAATTAGTTTACAAATAAAGTTCTGTGTAATTAAATTAAACGACACAGGGAAAAAGTACTGAACACATGAAGAAAGGGAGGTGTAGTTCGGCAGTGAAAGCCCAGACAGCAGCTGAAATCTCCCAGTAGTTCTTCAGCAACCCTCTGCCCTTCCTCAGTGTAAATGCATATCAGCTGCTTCAGTCTAACATCTACACTAGCAGGAGGATGAAGATGAAACCATTGTGGACATTTCAGCAAGACAACAATCCAAAACACAGCCAAGGAAACTCTCAAATACTTTCAGAGGAAGAAAATCAAGCTGTAGAATGGCCCAACCAATCACCTGACTTGAATCTAATTGAAAGTACAAAATAAAGGACATATCTAATAGACGAGACCCACAGAACCGTCAAGATTTTTACACTGTTGAAGTCTGTGAGAAACTCACACCTGAGCAATGCATCAGACTACATTCTCCATATGAGGCATCCTTAAGCTGCAGCACCAAAAAAAGCCTTTTCTCCTTATTGCAGATACACACATTGCAATATCAATGCTCAAACTATGCATTGTGCAGCCCTAGTAACTAATACTGAAAAAAAATTACTTAAATGTAAACATGTGAAATAAATCAGGCTTCATGAACGCATCTCTCATCTCATTGGCTGCACATCAAACCCACCTGTAGCAGTAGTTGGGCGCAGACCACACAGTGAGAACGGTCTCGTTGAAATGCCACTTGTAACCCTCCATGACGAGCTGGTGTGCTCTGCATATCATATCGATGTCGTTGGCGGCGTTAAACTGAGCCACAACATCACTGCCAAACAGATAGCCAGCACCTCTCGGACTCACGCCCCAGCCTGTGGTGTCTGTCAGACAGAGAACACATTCACATAATGAAGAGACATGCTCACACGCAGAAGACAGGACAGATGAGGTATGTGTCAGGTGTGTTTTCTCTTTTCTTCTGGAGATTTACATTGTCATTACATCAATGTTATTTTTGTATTGTTCAAATGTACAACACTTTAGTTAAGTCAGTGGCTGTTTTTTCCTCATTGACTTCCATTATAATGAGATTTGTGCATTCTTCATTGTTGGTTGTTTTGCCTGTTGGCAACATTGTTCCTTTAGATAGGCCTGTGCGAAACAGTTTCTGGCTTTTATATGGCGTTCTGTGGAGTTCAACAGCAAATTATTGTGAGTGCACTACCATTTACTACCATTGTTATTATTAATGTAACTGTTGCAGTCAGAGTTTTATTCCCATCTTCACACACTTCAGTATTATTACCATGAATGCTAAAGACTGTTTAATATGGCTGTGCAATTATTCGAAAATCCGATTTAAATTTTGATTTTGGCTTCTAACAATTATGAAAAACCATTAATCGAGATAAACGATTATTCCATTATTTACCGCCCCCTTTCCAGTTGAAAACATTTGTTGCTCTTAAAAGCGCGAACTAAACCGCATGCTGCTGCTGTGTGTGTGTGGCGCGCATACACAGTCAAAAGTATGCGTTCAGCGTCAAATCGTGGTGTTTAGTGTTTATTCATATTAACCCTCATTTGTGTAACCATTAAAGTGACAGCACACTATTCCTGCTGCCGCCTGTTTCTATCATTATTAATCAAGTAACAAAAGGAGAAAATCCCTCGCTACACTTGACTGAAGGACTTTTGTAGCTGAAGTGTTTTTCTTACGGTGAAGATACTTAAAGCACAGTTTGTTTTATATTTTTATTTTCTTGTAATTATTTCTCTTTCCTTTGCAGGGAGGAAAATAACTGTAAATATACTGTTGTAGTCAGAATTATTAGCCCTCCTGAATTATTAGCAACCCCTTTCCTCCCCAATTTCTGTTTAATGGAAAGAATTTTTTTTTCAACACATTTCTAAACATGATTTATTTTATCTTTGCTATGATGACAGCACATAATATTTGACTAGATATTTTTCAAAATACAAGCATTCAAATTCAAAGGCTTAATTAGGGTAATTAGGCAAGTCATTGTATAACATTAGTTTCTTCTGCAAACAATAAAAAAAATATATTGCCTAAAGGGGCTAATAATATTGACCTTAAAATAGCTATCAAAATATTTAAATCTGCTTTTATTCTAGCCGAAATAAAACAAATAAGACTTTCTCCAGAAGAAAAAATATTATAGGAAATACTGTTAAAATTCCTTGCTCTGTTAAACATAATTTGGGAAATATTTATTTTTTTAAAAATTCTCAGGACGGCTAATAATTTTGACTTCACAGTAATCTTTTTGAATAATCGTAATTACAATTATGACCAAAATAATCGTGATTATGATTTTCCAAAATCGAGCAGCCCTACTATCTAAATATTCTATTTATCATTAGTTTATACACATTACTGTTATTTCCATTCTTGTTGTATAGCTGCTTATGGGTTCAGTGTTTACTGTATGTTTTGCACATTAAATAAACAAAACACACAAATAGAAAAAACATACGAGGAGATGATGATGATGATGATGATGATAACAATGGTTATCATAGCCATGACACTACAGACATCAGAATTACCTTCAGGATCAGACCACAAAAGATCACACATGGGTCCATCGTGAGGCACTTCCTGCTTTCTGTCGATGGTTCTGATCTGGTCCAGAGTCTGGATGGAAGGCGACAGGCCTCCATGTACACAGAAGATCTGCAGAAATAAATAAAACACATCAGACCAGTGCTAAGACAACAAGTGTAACCTTTATAAAGGTTTAGTGCACCTCAAAATGAACATTTAAAAATATCATCATCTTCATGCCTTTCTAAACCCGCAGGACATTTCTTGATCAGTCAAACGTGAATTTTCTTTCCTGTTCTAACACCATTTCTCCAAGTCAAATTTAAGCACTTTTCAAGCACATCACAGGTGCATTTTTAAACTTTTCAAGCACTTTACAAGTGTGGCAAATTACATATTTACATATATATATACATACTTTATCATATTAATTCAGATAGTATTTGTTAAACAGTATAGAAAATATTTAATGGCATGTTTGACGAAAGCCTTACTTTAAATTACTTATATGGGATTACCTCATACTAAAAATGGGTCATCTTTCATCTTAAATTTAGATTTACTTCACTTTCATGCAATGTTTAGTGATGAAGCTGTAATGTGCATGCATTTTGTCTTCTTCAACTGCTTAATCAAAGAGCACAGATAAAAAAATGTAAAAGACAGGCAGACTACACTAGAAGCACATGTGCAGACTATTTTATTTAAATAGTTTTTTTTTTAAATTATTATTAATATCTGTTAACTAGGATTAATCATCATAAAAGAAACACAATCACATTCACATTTCATGCACTTTATCAAAAATTGAAACACTTTTAAAACCAAACACTTTTAAGCTACCAAATACGATCTCCAAAGACGACGTAGAATTGATTGCACTGCTGAGCGAACCATTGGTACAACCCTCCCAACTCCCCAAGAACTGTACTTATTGAGAGCGAGCAGATGGGCTGCCAAAATCACTCTGGACCCCTCACACCCAGCACACTGCCTCTCTGAAGTTTTACCTTCTAGTTGACGCTACAGAGCACAGCGCAGCAGAACAGCCCGACACAGAAACAGTTTCTTCCCTCATCTCATGAACACTTGATAACAACCGTGGAACCAACATCACTACTTGCCATACACTTTTATACACTTATTTAGCAACACACTTTACATGGCAATTTGAACATAACAGTTGCACATATAACGTTATATATAGTAATATAGCTCTACATGCACTTGTCAATTTGTATATTAGCATTCACTACTTGCTGCTTTTTTTTAAATATATTTATTATCTGTTTATTGTCCTGCCTCTGTATTTCTGTAGCAATGTAGAAACTCTGTCACGAAAACAAATTCCTCACATGTGCGAACATACCCGGCAGTAAAGCTCTTTCTGATCTAAACAACCTCGACATCACTAGAATAAAATTCACACGTTCAAAGATTTCCAGCACCCATGTGAAACCAGATTAAAGAAAGAAAACCTGAAGACTCATGCACTATATACTCCCTTAAACTGTTCCAAATATGCATTTTCTTTCTTTGCTAAGGGGTAAAACTATTTTTTTGGGAGGCCCGACTTTGTTTAAATCAATACAACACCAAATAAATGAAGCAGCTGAATCTTTTGTGAGGAGATAATAAACTTTATATGATAAACAGACATAACTTCAGGCAAATAAAAAGACAGGTATTCATGCAAATAAAAAACACAAAGTGACTGTATCTCTCCAAAATTCAGGTTTTGATTATCCTGACTTTTAGTAGTGGCACAGAAACCTCTCAGGTTTCTCTAATAAGATGAAGGTGAGAAAATGATGATAGCTTCTTAATTTTAAGGTGAACAATTCGACTCACTTTGCCGTCAATGATGGCGGATAGAGACAGGTAGTCGAAGATCTCCGTGCAGTACCTCCATACTGTAACCGAGCCGTATTTTCTTAAACACTCGTCATAAAAGCCGTACACCTGTGTGATCTGTCTAGACTCGTGATTTCCCCGGATCAGGGTGATTCTGTCTGGATAACGCACCTGTGAGAAGACATCCGATCAGTTTATGATGTCTGACTACGACCACCATAACATCTGATTAAAAACTACAACTTCACTGTACCTTGAGGGCGAGAAGTAACAGAAAGGTCTCAACACTGTAAAAGCCTCTGTCCACAAAGTCTCCCATAAAGAGGTAGTTTGTTTCTGGAACGTCGCCTCCCACCTGAAGGAGAACAGATATTATGTATTAATTTATTAGCCAGCTACAAATAAATAACATCAGAGATTAAACAAGAGACGATGTGTGCCCTCGTTTCCTCAAATACACAAAGCAAATGCACATTTAACATATTTACATTCAATTAAGATTAAAAAAGACGAGGTGTTAATGACAGAAGCTGCACTAAACAGCGAATTTTGACCATTCAGAAATCGTATGACACATTTTACAGTCATAAAATGTATTGTTTATTGTAAAGACAGACCTTAGTCAAAATGATTTCTGAGTTACTGCTGCTCTCGGAGTGTAAACACGTGAACAATGCAAGCAAACTTATTGCTGACCGTCGAGTTTAATTTTCACCGCATTTTGTGACAGGATTTTTTTCTCTTTATTCTCTTATACGATGTGCGGTATCAAACATTCAACCATCATTTAAAAACAGTCTCTGTCTTTCTCAGCTGAGTGCATGTTTGTTTGTTTGGGAACCATTTTTATTCAAATCCTTTCCCTTTTCCCTCCCTTGACACTCCCACCCAAACAGAGCTAGACACACCCACTTTCCTGAATCCTGACTTTTTCCAAACTAGGTGTGAAAACACCCTGCTGTAACAGGGGGGTTTCATTGCCCTTTAATAGCCAATAAAAAAAAATACAGATATTAAATGTTTAAAATTATTAATAAACTTAACATTGTAAGCCTTTAATCTTATAATAGCCAGTATAAAAAATGCAGATATTAAATGTTTAAAATTATTAATAAACTTAACATTGTAAGCCTTTAATCTTATAATAGCCAGTATACAAAATGCAGATATTAAATGTTTAAAATTATTAATAAACTTAACATTGTAAGCCTTTAATCTTATAATAGCCAGTATACAAAATGCAGATATTAAATGTTTAAAATGATTAATAAATTGACCTCACAACCCTTTAATTTTATAATAGCCAGTATAAAAAATGCAGATATTAAATGGTTTTAAAAAATTATTATTAAATTGATCTTACAACCTTTTAATCTTATTATAGCCAGTATACAAAATACAGATATTAAATGTTTAAAATTATTAATAAACTTAACATTGTAAGCCTTTAATCTTTAAATTGCCAGAATAAAAAATACAGATATTAAATGTTTAAAATTATTAATAAATTGACCTCACAACCCTTTAATTTTATAATTGCCAGTATAAAAAATACAGATATTAAATGTTTAAAATTATTAATAAACTTAACATTGTAAGCTTTTAATCTTTAAATTGCCAGAATAAAAAATACAGATATTAAACGTTTAAAATGATTAATAAATTGACCTCACAACCCTTTAATCTTAAAATAGCCAGTATAAAAAAATGCAGATATTAAATGTTTAAAATGATTAAAAAAGTTGACATTGCAACCCTTTAACCTTTTAGTAGCCAGTACTACCAATACAGATAATAAATGTTTACAAATATTTCTAAAATTGACATTGCAACCCTTTAATATTTTAATAGCCAGTATAAAAATACAGATTTATCATTTTATATTTACATTGTGTGAAAAAGAGCTCAGACTCACCCTAAACAATTCCTTCAGGTCATAAAACTGCCCGTGGATGTCACCACACACCTGGAGACAAAAATAAACCATTTACTTCTCGTAGAGATGCTTTATTATCAATTTTCTTTGAAGAAGGAGGAACTTTAGTCTCTGGAACAGAAAATATGGTCAAATATACGTGTTTGTTTTGTGCTCACTAAAACTTTTTTCCACCAACATCTTTTAAAGTAACTTAATTATTGTGTTAGGCAGAAAAGGAAAGTTGGCCACGACCATTCATGTTTGTTTTTTTTTGCCACATAAGCAACTTATTTCATGGCAAGATCAACATGGATAAAAATATATTACATAATATGAAAAACATAAAAAACATATTACATATACTTCAGTTATTAATCAGTCATTCTTAAGTAACAAGAAATGGGTATCAACTAAGTTAATGCGCCTTATTTATCCATGTAATTACTATTTGTACAGCTATTCTAATTATTAATTAGTTATTAATTGTTAATTAGTTAGCTATTCTAATTATTAATTAGTTGTCTATTGTAATTAGAAGTATTATGGGTTTTTGTTCTGATTATTTTTTTCCTGTAATAAATGTATTAATTTGATGATAATATATTGTATATTTTATACACATCTAAAACCCAATGGCAACACTGTACAAATTGTCATGCCTATAAATCAACTTGAAATTACATTAGTGATACATTTCACTATAAAAAGCATATTAGTTTAACACTGATAACTAATATTAAAGGGCTATAGCTCACTCAAAAATTAAAGTTCCTTTTTTTAACATTTATTTACAATCAACTGGTTTCAAGCTTTTATGAATTTCTTTCTACTGTTGAACAAAACAATATGCCAGAAAAAATAAAATACTATGACAGTAATTTTAACGAGGAAAACCACTTTAGATTTTGTAATCTCTTTTTTTTAAGAGTGTCCTGTCTTTCCAAACGCTCTTTAGTATTTCTTTCTTTGTGTTTTCAACAGAAGAAAGAAGCACAAACAGGTATGAAATAAGTGAAGGATGAGCAAATGATGACAGAATTTGAACTTTTTGTGTGAACTAACACTTTAATAAAAGAAACATTACAGTAATGTACTACTCAAAGCTTCTCTATGCAGTGTTTGTGAATACTCACCGTGACAGGAGAGTCCACCCTCTGTACATTACTCTCTTCTACAAGAATCTCTCTGAAACAATAACCAAACATTAGTGTTGTGTAAGCATTTAATCAACATTTGGGAGTGACAGATTGCTTGGGTGCCTGTTTTGGGCAGGCTGTAATCACCTGGCTTTGGCACACAGGGCTTTGACCTCATTCTCCTTGATGAGCTCACACCTCCTCAGCTGGTCGATCTGTCGGTCCAGATCACTCATGTCACCCATGGCGGATCGCTGAGAGCCCGTCTGCCTGTTTTCCCCTCACAAAACAGTCAATACAGCGACTGTGGTGCTAACAATCTCTCTCTGTGCAGACCAAACACAGACACACTCACACCAGAGATGCGGAGAGGTGGCGGGAGGAGTCCGGGCACGACAACCTGTTTGGAGAAAACAAGAGCATTTTAATATGGGCCGAGTATGAACTATGCAGTTACTCGTTTATAACATGGCTATATGGAATCGTTGATTTTGATAGGCTAGTCGTGACATTCCAAGAAATGTTATTTTGAGATAACAACCGCTAAATAACACAGAATCAGAACTTTGAATCATCTTGACCTTTAGCAATTCACATCCATATACATAATTCACATCCACATGTGTCTGCTCATCTGTCACGTTGATTTTTCAGACTATTTTGCACCATCTTTCTCAATGAATAATAGGTTAGCATTATTCTCCAGTTTTGTTTCTGTCAGCTTTAGGGCTGCACTATTAATCGGAAAAAAGATCCCGATCTTGATTCAACCCTACACATGATATTAATTCAGCCAATTATATTTTCAAGGTCAGAAAAGAAGCTTAAAGGTAGTCGCATCAGTCTTCAGAGCAACATTGACACCTTCAAATGGCGTTAAAAGAGTCACATACTTTATTTATAAGGTATAATTCACCCAAAAATGTCATTTCTGCCTTCATGTAATGATGTATTCACGTGCGCGTGCACGCATGACGCCTACTTTAGTGAACAGAACCTTCATATGCTGTGAATAACAGGTAATGAAGTTGTAAAACGTTCAGTTTGTTGCACAGAGCGATCGTTTGAGGGCCGTACGGGAGTTTTGATTTGCATGCGTGTGTTTTTTCTCACAGTGACAGCAGCCATGAGCCGCACTCGGAAGTGAAAGTGAAACCTGTGCGCACATTTAAATGATCATATGGCATTTTAGAGTTAGGATTACGACAAGCATTTGATATGTTTTTTACTTTCATAGTGATTACAAAGTGTTGTGCATGAATGAAAATAAATGTTTACTGTTTCAGTATAACAACCCTAGCCTATATATAATGTAGAATATAATGCACAAAGGAATCGGAGATTGACAAAATTCTAATTTTACCAGTGAAAACAAATGGTCTAATAATGCTGTCAATAACAGATGACTAGCACATATCCTAAACATAATAAATCAACTTTATAATTATGAATAGTTGTATTCTGATGTCATCATTTTACTGTGAGTTAACAAACAGGACGTATTGAAAGTCCACCATAATGACTATACAAAGCTTAGCATTTTAAGCAAAAGTAGAGCTACACATAGGCCTACTATTTTTGTTGTTTTACCACATGTTTGAGAATTAAAAATAATAATAGGCTAATCATATTAACCTTTATTTTACATTTACAGAATTGTGAGAAAATCCTGACCTTGATTTTAAGCACAAATATAAAAAAATCGTGATTCACATTTTGCCAGAATCGTGCAGCATTATGCCTGGTTTATACTTCTGCGTCAAGTGACCGGCGTAACCCACGGCGCATGCAACGCGCGCAGCTGTGCATTTATACTTGTGCGCGCTGTCTCTGTTGGTCTGCATTAACACTTCCGAAACACTAGTTGGCAGTGAGGTTACCTGTCCTTTTTTATTTTAGCATAGACTTTAACTCACTGTTAAAATCACTTCATTTTACCAAGAATAAAAAACCTAAGATTTCTGAAATATTTTACAGATATATTTAAAGGAGGTCCTCGATTTTTGTTACTTTCCATACGGTTATTTGTTTAAGTGTCATTTATTCAATTTAATAATTGTATTATTATTATTGGGGTGTCACGGTGGCGCAGTGGGTAGTACAATCACCTCACGGCAAAAAGTTAGCTGGTTCGAGCCTTTGCTGGGTCAGTTCGCATTTCTGTGTGGAGTTTGTATGTTCTCCCTGTGATGGCGTGGGTTTTCTTCCGCAGCTCCGGTTTCCCCCACAGTCCAAACACATGCGCTATAGGTGAGTTGAATAAGCTAAATTGGCCAGTGTGTGTATGCGTGTATGAATGCAATAGTGTAAAGGTGTTTCCCAGTGTTGGGTTGCAGCTGGAAGGGCATCCGCTGTGCAAAACAAATGCTGGATAAGTAGGTGGTTCATTACGCTGTGCCGACCCCTGATTAAAAAAGGGACTAAGCTGAAAATAATATGAATATTAATTCCCTTTCTGTCTAATGATATTTTATTTGTATGTGTTTAAAGATTTTTTCATGACTGCATATTATTAATCTTTTTTTAAAGATCTTTCTGTGATCCCATTGAGGTAAAGTTGGTATTATATTCGCACATTCGTTCATTTAACTGTCTCTGTTGTAATATTCACCACTCTACTTTAAATATTCAGTCTGAAATGGCATGCCAGTTTGACTTCAAAACAACATTAGCACTATGTATTTGACTGTGAACAATGTTGTACTTTATTTGTCATTGGCTAATTTAATTTTCCTGTTCAGAATTAACAAAGAATACTCCTCTGAAATGAATATTATTAAAAAGAATGTCTAAATATCTGAATATAAAAACATCTTCACCCTAATTTTGATCCCTTGGATTTTGTTCTGATGTTTCTGTATTGTCAGTTCAAGCCAAAAAAACAAAAAAACAAAAAGGTGAGTCCGAGTAACCCGTTAATCAAGACAAATGACGTCACATGATGCCACCAAGAATAAACCGCAAACACAGCTTGTGTACATATTTTAGTATAACGTCATATTAATTAGTGGGCGAGAACCATCATAATGACAGCCTTACTGAGACTAGTTATAATCGCTTATTGCGTATTCGTACATTACATTTAAATATATAAACGCTGAATATATTATCAATACATTTTTAATGAACAACATTACATTTATGACAATTAAAATATTAAAACTAAAATTACATTTGTGAATGAGGTCAGTGGCCTATTTAGCAAGGAAACCAGCTCAATGTGCAACACTTGACTTTATACAAGATTTCAGTGACATTAATAAAAAGTGTAAACAGTAAAATTTGTTTAAAACTAGCACTGGATTTAAATGAATGATTTTAGGATGACAGTTCAGTCGTATGTCGACATTAGCGAATCCTTTATGCTCTGATTTAAGATAAGCTAAACATATTTTAGAAAAAAATACAAGTATTTTGAACAACACTTTTGCTAACACATTAAGGTAAAGCTTTAAAAATGAGTACTTAACGTTAGCTGTGCTCGCTGGTCCAACGTGACGGTGAAGTAGACTGGCACAACTTTCCTGAAAACTCACCGATGAATTAAACAACCCCTGACGTTACACAGAAACCACCGACGAACACGCCACTCACAATTATTAACCTACTCGATGTCAAGAACCTTAATGTCAAACTCGACCTCGATTTCCAGCCAAAAGCGAGTCAATCCGGAATTAGCCGGGCTAACTAGCTTGAGCAGCTAAAGGCCTGAAAAAAAGAGCTCATCTGCCCAGACATCTGCTCAAATAGACGGCCAGCAAACGCTCAAAAACCGCGGAAAACACACAAGACTTCGAGAAATATACGAGCGACACTTACCTTTAACCACTCCAGGCAGAGCTTTGCGAAATATAGCGATGTAAAGACTATAACGTCAGCTCTCTTTTCAGAGCTTCACCCGGTTTCGTCGGTCTTTTTCTCCCACCACCCTCTACCGGCGTCAAGCGCCTCCCTTTTGGAAAGCCAGACATATGAGACCGCCAGCGGCTCCATACTGCCTCCAGCGGCGGAGCGAGGTATTGGTTGTTGCTAGAAGGAATACAGCTGCGGCCGGAAATCAACGAATTTTCAGTTTTTTTTAAATGAATAAAACATTTTTTTAAACTGCAGTATAAAACAAATACAATAAAACAAACTCAATTAACCACAATAATTTTAATTATTCTCAGAACAGAGCAAAAATAATAAAAATACTCAATATAATATTTATAAAAATTAATTATAAAACAGAACACACACACACACACACACACACACACACACACACACACACACACACACACACACACACACACACACACACACAAATTAACAAATTAAACAGCAGGGTTTTCTATAAATTAAATAATTAGCCACTAAACTGACAAAACGTAAAATTATTTTTTTTTGTGTGAAAAGGTGGATATCATTCATATTATTTATTAAATCATCCTTTAAATTGTAATTTATTAACACCTATCCCTACGCCAACCCTCACATTATTATCAAAATATTAATTATTCTTGTACAGTGTTACATAAATGATGTGAGTAACCGCAGCTGTATCCCTTTTAAACTTTACCCAATTGAAAAGCGGGGACTCAATGCTGCCCTCTTGTGGCAGAAAGATATATAACAGCCCAGGAGTCACTGCTGCCCTCGTGTGGCATAAAAAAAATACTAATGATGACAGGATTTGCCAATAGAGGCAAAGAAAAGTGACTTCATCTTGCTTCCTTGTAGCAAATTGATATTATATTCTAAGTACTTCATTTGCATGACTATTTACGTAAGCATTGCCAGTGTGTTTTACACTAAACCAGGCAGCTGTTAATCTTTTCGACGCTGCAGAACCCAAATATAATATAAAGTGAGGCAAAGGGATATTTTATTTATTTAAAATGGCACCTATGATGAAAATCAACTTTTGTAAGCTACATCTAGGTATAGTGTGTCCACAGTCATATAGGAGTGAACAAGTCTCTTTTTTAAAATTTTCTGGCGTTAAAATAGGACCCAAATCCTAATTATTTTGAGGTCCACCTCAACGTGACATAGGAGAGTGTGATTCCCCCGCCCACCGAATAGATTGACAGGTGCCTTGTTTCTATAATAGATGTGTACTCACGTCCACAGAAAATTGATTTGCGAATAAACTGGGATTAAAACGTCTGTTGAAATGTTTTTACAACAGAGCATGTTTTTAATAAAAACAGTATTCATCATGGCCGCATGGTGTCAGTAAACGCACATACAATATTTGTGCAGTGTTGCCAGATTGGGCTCGTTCCCCCCACAGTCCAAAGACATGTGGTACAGGTGAATTGGGTTTACTAAATTGTCCGTAGTGTATGAGAGTGTGTGTGGATGTTTCCCAGAAATGGGTTGCGGCTAGAAGGGGATCCGCTGCGTAAAAAAACTTGCTGGATAAGTTGGCGGTTCATTCCGCTGTGGCGACCTCGGATTAATAAAGGGACTAAGCTGACAAGAATGAATGAATGGTCCTCACAATGTAAGAAAGACACACACATACATGCATGATTTATTATATTTAAAGTACTTTATTGACATGAGTACATAAATATTGCCAAAGCAATGTACAAAAAGATAAGAAAAGGATATGCACAATAGAAATAAAACATTAAAAAATAGTATTAAATATGATGCTCATAAAAATAAAGCATTTTGAGTGGTGTTTTCGCAGCAAGCCTTTCCACTTCCCCAAATCAACTTCTCATTATTGAGTAAAAAAAACCTCACATATTACTACAAAAAACCTTTTGCAACATAGGCTCATTCTGACAACGTAGCTCTATATACATTTGTGTAGATCACGAATTAGGTAGCCAGATTAGGTACGTATGGCTGCATTATTTTGTCCTTAAAATGAATGCTATGGGGTGGTACCAGCTGACCACTTACCTCCGTGTGGAAGGCTTTCCCGCTGTTACCAGTTTGCTCAGTGGCTTGCCTTGTACGTCGGCAGACTTAAGACGCAGAGAGGAGTTGACCACAACGAGGGGGCTCGAGAAAAATTCCAGAAAGCAGGTAAGACAAAAACAAAAGCCAAAAAATGAAACAAATATTTAAATAATGGTGAGAATGTGGCAAGATCTGAAAACATTTAAAAAATCAAACACTATCGGTTGGGTTTAGGGAAGGGGGTGGGGGCTGGTCAATCGGTGCTTTTGAAAACACTATCGGTTGGGTTTAGGGAAAGGGGTGGGCGCTGGTCAATCTGTGCTTTTGAAAACACTATCGGTTGGGTTTAGGGAAAAGGGTGGGGGCTGGTCAATCGGTGCTTTTGAAAACACTATCGGTTGGGTTTAGGGAAAGGGGTGGGCGCTGGTCAATCTGTGCTTTTGAAAACACTATCGGTTGGTTTTAGGGAAGGGGTGGGTGCTGGTCAATCTGTGCTTTTGAAAACACTATCGGTTGGGTTTAGGGAAAGGGGTGGGCGCTGGTCAATCTGTGCTTTTGAAAACACTATCGGTTGGGTTTAGGGAAAGGGGTGGGCGCTGGTCAATCGGTGCTTTTGAAAACACTATCGGTTGGGTTTAGGGAAAGGGGTGGGCGCTGGTCAATCGGTGCTTTTGAAAACACTATCGGTTGGGTTTAGGGAAAGGGGTGGGCGCTGGTCAATCGGTGCTTTTGAAAACACTATCGGTTGGGTTTAGGGAAAGGGGTGGGCGCTGGTCAATCGGTGCTTTTGAAAACACTATCGGTTGGGTTTAGGAAAGGTGGTGGGTGCTGGTCAATCGGTGCTTTTGAAAACACTCTTGGTTGGGTTTAGGGAAGGAGGATTAGTCAATCACACAGTCAGTCTTTCAGCAGCCTTTGGTGGATTTACGCAAGAACAGCAGGTACGAATGGCTCTCGTGAGAAAAATTTGAGATCTGAAAAATTGAACACAGCGGCCTCTGGTGGATTCACGAAAACAAAAACAGCAAAAAAAAAAAAAAAAAAAAGCTCCTGGGACGTATTTGGTGCTCTCCAGAAATATATATAGCGGTATGTGATCAGAATGAGCCTGGGTTGGCTTTTTGATACTCTACAGACACACTTTTAGTGGAATAAAAAGTTAAATATCTTCAGGGAATTGTTGATATCAAAGAAAGACTTATGTTTAAGAGTGCATGACTGCTGCCAGACACTGATAATAATAATAAAGAATAGGTTATGAAAATGTATCTACAGCGGTCACAGAAACTTAAAAGCAGTGAAAAAGTGCAAAACAATTTATTTATTATTTTTTGTACATTTTAAGCAGGCATATTTATACAAATAAAAATAAATACAAGCCACTGTAAGCACTTCCATAAGCTCAGTTAAGAAAATGCAAAGCAACATTTATAATCACACCTGAGATTCTCATCGTTTATAAAGCAGACAAACGTTTATCAAAATAATAGAAGTTGAATGTTACTGCATGTTTTTTCCCAGTGTAACAGTGATATTTACAAGACTGAACAGTGCTGAACACAGCTGACAAACAAAGTGCAAAATGATGATGAAATGAAATGTATTACTCGTTACTCTGCTTTTTGAGCTTGTTTTTGAGTTCTGCCATCATCATGGGTCCTCCCATACTGTGTAAAACAAAATAATCAAAAATAATCAGATTTGCATTTGTGAAAAACATAATAGGAACTGAATAAATCAGACTGATATCGTACCCAGGATGCCTCGGCGGTGTCCATTTGGGTTTTGCTGTTGTTTGCACTGGTTTAACAGAATCCTCTGGTTCTGCGACTGACTTTTGCTGTGAACACACAGTTATGCTAATAAACATCCATTGCTTTTTTTGTATTTAATGATAATAACAATAAAAAGTGTTAGGGAGTAGCTGGCTACAAGTAGTTTAGCCACTAGCTTAGCTACATTTTTGGCTATATAAATTAGCTACATTACATTAAGCTACATTTTTAGCTACTTAAGAAACAATGTAGCTTATCCAGTAGCTACTTTTCCAGCAACTAGCGCATTAGCTTGACAACAGCTACATTCAACCAGCAAATATTATTTTGACTGGAAATGACTCCCGAAAGATAATAAGGTATATATAAGATGCATTATTGTGGAAAAATATATATTTCTCAGCTTTTATTTACATTTGAACAAAAAGTGGCATGTCCAAAATTATTCATACCCTTCTCAATAATCAATAGAAAAGCCTTTATTGGCTATTACAGCAATCAAACACTTCCTATAACTGCTGACCAGCTTTTTACATGTCTCCACTGGTATTTTTGCCCATTCATCATTACACATTATTTCTGATCTTCCTGATCTTTTGCTCCCTCCACAGATTCTCAATTGGGTTTAAGTCAGGACTCTGGCTGGGCCACTATAAAACGTTAATGTTTTTGTCTGCTGATCATTTCAACCAACATAATAATAAAGAGAAATGGATTTTCAGAGCGGTATTACTGTATTAGCAATGTACCTGCGGCTGTAGTGTCTCTTCTGCTTCTCCTCCTTCTCTTGCTTTCTTTCCAAATTCAGTTTTCCTCAGAACCGGCATCCCTGCTCCAAGTCCTAAAAGAAAGACAAATAAAGCATCGATTTATAGTACTCAGAAAATGTTAATATACTTCTCATTAAAGGTATAGTTCATGCACAAATGAAAACCCTGTCATATCTGTATATGTTATATTATATATTCCATATCTGCTTGAGTTTCTTTATTGTGTTGAACACAAAAGATATTTGGAAGAAATCTTGAAACCGGTAACCATTGACTTTTTTAATAATTTGTTTTTCCTACTATGGAAGTCAATAGTTACAGGTTTCAAGATTTCTTCGAAATGTCTTCTTTTGTGTTCAAGAAAGTCAACAGGTTTGGAGTCATTTGAGGGAGAGTAAATAATAAGTACATTTTCATTTTTGAGGGAACTATCCCTTTAGGGTTTCTTTTACCTGGGAGTTTGAATCCAATCATTCCTTTATTCAGAGGAGAAACATTGACTTTGGGAGAACATGCTGCAGGCTGTGGGAGAAGCGGCTCGACTGAGGCCTTGGAGATCAGCTTTCTGGGGTCTTTGGGGGGCCGAACTAGAGGATTCTTCACTGCTATTCTAGACTTCTGAATGGTGAAGTCCAAAGAGGAGTCCTAGTATATAACAAAACGACTTTACTTCAAGGATGAACAACAACATTTCATATTTTGGTATGTCAGATATAAATCTTAAATCATCATGATGATCACCTGCTATAATTACTGTATGCTCACTACATTTACATTTAGGATACATCCAAGGATTCGATTAGAGTCTTTAGCAGACGCTTTTATCCAAAGCGACTTACAAATGAGGACAAGGAAGCAATTTACACAACCAAGAGCAACAATAAATAAGTGCTATAGGCAAGTTTCAGGTCTGTAAAGTCTAAGAAGGAAAGTATTAGTATTTTTTATTTATTTATTTATTTTTTTGGGTACAGTTAGTGTGATATTCAGAGAGGCAATTGCAGATTAGGAAGTGAAGTGGAGACCACATTATACTTAACTGTAATGTGGACAGCCATTTTCTGTAAAGCAGCTTTAAAACTATATACATTCATTTAAGTGTATAGTATTGATAAAGGGTGTCACGGTGGCGCAGTGGGTAGCACGATCACCTCACATTAAGAAGCCTCAGCTGGATCAGTTGGCATTTCTGTGTGGAGTTTGCATGTTCTTACTGTATTGGCGTGGGTTACCTCCAAGTGCTCTGGTTTCCCCCACAATTCCAAAGACGTGTGGTATAGGTGAATTGTATAAACTAAATTGGTCGTAGTGTATGTGTGTGAATGAGTGTGTACGGATGTTTCCTAGTACTGGGTTGCAGCTGGAAGGGCATCCGCTGCACAAAACATAAGCTGGACAAGTTGCATTGAGGTTCATTCCGCTGTGGCGGCCCCTGATTAATAAAGTGACTAAGCCGAAAAGAAAATGAATGACTGAGTATTGATTTAGTTATGTAATTATATATTATTATAATGCAATTGTATGAACTTAACTGCTGAAAAGATCATTTGTAAAATAGTTGTTCATAATTTTGACATATAATTTATATTTTATTAATATATAATTTGTCTGGTAAAAATGGACAAGATAAAAAAAAACATTGGAAAATAAATCCATTTATAATCAACAAAATCAAGCCAGTGGTCAATTTTATTTTATTCATTTATTTTCCTTCAGCTTAGTTGCTTTATTAATCAGGGGTCACCACAGCGGAATGAACTGCCAACTTATCCAGCATATGTTTTACACAGCGGATGCACATCCAGCTGCAACCCAGTACAGGGTCACACCCATATACTTCACACACACACACACACACACACACACACACACACACACACACACACACACACACACACACACACACTACGGACAATTTAGTTTATTCATTTCACCAATAGCGCATGTGTTTGGACTGTGGGGGAAACCGGAGGACCCCGAGCAAACCCACGCCAACACGGGGAGAACATACAAACTCCACACGGAAATGCCAACTGACCCAGCCTAGGCTCAAACCAGCAACCTCCTTGTTGTGAGGTGACTGTGCTAACCACTGAGCCACCATGTCACAATTTAAAGTTTTCATTAAATTAGTTTAAGATGAGATTAAAAAATACATACTGGTTGTGCTTCTGACTTGTCAGTTTCACGTATATATATATATATATATATATATATATATATATATATATATATATATATATATATATATATAAATCATAAAAGAACAAAATAACGAAAATATATAGGGCAAAGCATTAAAACAAACTTGAATGCAACTTTAAATGTATAATAGTAATTCAATAATTTATCTGAGCATAAAATCATATACATAATGACACAGTTGAAGTCAGAATTATTAGCCCCCCTTTACATTTTTTTTCTTTTTTTTTTTTTAAATATTTCCCAAATGATGTTTAACAGAGCAAGGAAATTTTCACAGTATGTCTGATAATATTTTTTTGTCTGGAGAAAGTCTTATTTGATTTATTTTGGCTAGAATAAAAGCAGTTTTAATTTTTTTAAAAAATATTTTAAGGCCAAAATCATTAGCCCCTTTCAGCTATATTTGTTTTCAACAGTCTACAGAACAAACCATCAATAACTTGCCTAATTACCCTAACCTGCCAAGTTAACCTAGTTAAGCCTTTAAATGTCACTTTAAGCTGTATAGAAGTGTCTTGAAATATATCTAGTCAAATATTATTTACTGTCATCATGGCAAAGATGAAATAAATCAGTTATTAGAGATGATTTATTAAAACTTATGTTTAGAAATATTATGTTGCTGAAAAAAATCTCTCTGTTAAACAGAAATTGGGTGAGGGGGGAGGGGGGTGGGGGCTAAATATTTTGACTTCAACTGTACATTTCAATGTAATGTAATGTAATTTTTATTTAATGTCATATCAGCGACCAAGTCTATTTTCATAGGAACATTGCCGTAATAAATATATAATTAAAAAAATCAACAAACAAATGAATACATAAATTAAATAAGATTTTTAGTGTTTGTACATTTCAATAGTTTATATTTTTTAAAAAATATCTCGTCAGATGTAATAAGAAACAATATATAGTTTTATGACATAATAAATTACCTAATTTCCAAATCACCTAAATTGAATAGAAATTATATGACATGGTTATCAAATATAATATCACCCATATTTGTCACACATTAAAGTAGATTTATTTACTTTAGTAGATTTAACCCCTGCAGTCCGTTTTGTCAATTTGATTTAATACTTCTGACCCACTTACAGTATATCAAACATTTTCAAATAAAAATACGTGTAAGTGAAATAATTACCTGTAGACTGAAACTAATTCCTTGAATCTTCACCTCTGGATTGTCTTTGTTCACTTGACCAAACCTTCTTTTCATCACAGGTTTGCTGACCTCCATTACGTCTTCATGACTCCTCAGCAGTGTTTCTCCAGCAATGACCTTCTGTATCTTTTCATGACCTCCATCAGCTTCACACATTATCTTGAACTCTTCAATACGTGTGTTTTCCGCCTCCATTTCTACTTTTCCATCCATTGTTTCAACTAATACCATAGTTTCTTCTTCCAGTACAAATGCATCAGCTGGCGCTTGTAATTCAGGTTGTTGGTTTTCATCATCCTCATGTTCCTGATCATTCTGGTCAACGTTTTTCTCCTTTTCATCAGTGAAATGGCCATCTGAATGTCTCAAACCTCCTGTGCCTTCTGCCTCCTCAATGTCCGCAAGCTTTATCTGTTGTTCCTCTTCTATGTCTACTCCACAAAGCTCAAATTGGACTATGTCTGCATTTTCTGGATCTTCTTTCTTTATCGGCATCGTACACTTTTCCTCATCATCTTGTTGTTCAATCTGGCAATCTTTCTCTAGCTCATGTGCAGATTCACTGTCTTTAGACTCAGTTTCAGATGAAGCTTCTTTAATTTTGACATGTGCACCATCATCTTTGTGTTGTTCAATGTCTGAATCATCTCGATTAGTCGCTAAATAATCAGTTCCCGTTGATAACTCTGCACAATGATGCGTTTGTTGCTCATGATGTCTCTCAGCTTCAGTTGTTTCAAGCTTTGGGGAACTATTATGTTGCTCATTTTGCTTGACATCTTCACTACTTGTGGTTTCCACCTCCATTTCTACCTTACCGTCCATTGTTTCAACTACTAACATAGTTTCTTCTTCTAGTACTAAAGCGTCAGCTGGCGGTTCTAGTTCTGGTTGTTGGTTTTCATCATTCTCAGCTTTTTCCTGATCATTCTGGTCAATGTTTTTCTCCTTTTCATTAATAAAATGTTCAGCTGAAAATGTGCCTTCTGCCTCTTTAAGGTCCACCATGTTAATCTGTTTATATTCCTCTACATATTCTCCATAAAGCTCCATATCTGTATAATCTGGATTTTCTTTCTTCATTGCCATTGAACTCTTTTCATCAAAACCCTCTTTTTGTTCAGTCCACCAATTTTTCTCATTGTCTTTACACTCAATGTTTGCATACTCTCTTTCAGATGAAGCTTCTTCACTTTCACCATGTGCATCATCAGCTTTGTGTTCTTCTATGTCTGTATCCTCTTGATTACTCCCTAAATTTTCACTTCCAGTTGACAACTTTACACAATGATGCATTTGTTGCTCATGATGTCTCTCAGCTTCAGTTGATTTAAGCTTTGGGGAACTAGTATGTTGCTCATTTTGCTTGACATCTTCACTACTTGTGGTTTCCACCTCCATTTCTACCTTACCGTCCATTGTTTCACCGACTAACATAGTTTCCTCTTCAAGTACAAATGCATCAGCTGGCGCTTGTAATTCAGGTTGTTGGTTTTCATCATCCTCAGCTCTTTCCTGATCATTCTGATCAATGTTTTTCTCCTTTTCATGAGTAAAATGTTCATTTGAAAATTTCAAACCTCCAGTGCCTTCAGTCTCCTCAAGGTCCATCATCTTTATCTGTTTATATTCCTCTACATATTCTCCATAAAGCTCAGACTGGACCATATCGGTGCTATCTGGATCTTCTTTCTTTATCGGCATCTTACACTTTCCATCATCATCTTTTTGTTCAATTTGCCAATTTTTCTCCAGCTCCTGTGCAGATTCACTGTCTTTAGATTCAATGTTTGCATATTCAATTTTAGATGAAACTTCTCTGTCTTTAACAAGTGCATCATCATCTTTGACTTCATCTATGTCTGAATCATCTTGATTAGTCGCTAAATAATCAGTTCCAGTTGATAACTCTGCACAATGATGAGTTTGTTGCTCGTGATGTCTCTCAGCTTCAGTTGTTTCAAGCTTTGGTGAACTAGTATCTTGCTCATTTTGCTTGAAATCTTCACTGGAGGTTTCCACCTCCATTTGAACATTACTTTCCATTGTTTCCTCTGAAACCATCCTATCTTCTTCCAGTACAAATGCATCAGCTGACACACTGTTTGCTGTTCCTTGACATTCTGCATCACCAAGTTCCTCCACTGAAAGCTCTACCGAATGTTCAGTCTTTTTCAGCATTTCGGTTTCTATCATCTCCTTCAACACTTGATTTGTTATTTCCTCAACATAATCTAAAGCAGTCTTCATCAGGATCTCCTGCTCCTCAATAAATCTCTCTGATTCCCTTGCGAGACTTTCCTTTACAAACTCTGATGGGGGTAAAGATCTTCTTAATATGGAGTCAACATCTGCAACCTGTTCTACCTCGGCAGATCCATCTGAATGTCCTAGTGATTCTGATAAAGTGTCCACCATCGTATCTTGAGATGATTTACATTCTCCTCTTGCAAACTCAAGACGCTCACGTGACTCTAAAGTGATTTTTGTCTCAAAGCTTTCTGCCTTTTCATGTTCTGACATCAGCTTGGTACTTAATTCAACATCTTCCATAAGTGACAACTTGTGACAAATTTCCTGACTTTCAGCTGCACCCAAGGATTCGATTAGAGTTTCGATGTCTTTTTCAACCTCAACAGCTTCCTCGGTTGGTTTCAGTGTCTCTGAACGCCCAGCAGTGCATGCAAACTCAACATCTCTTTCTAAATGCCTTTCTGAAACAGACTGGAGATCATTTAGGTAGGTTTTGCTCTCCTCAAAATGCACTGTTGATGAAATCTCTTTCCTCAATTCTCCTGGGAACTTGCAAACAATCACATCTGAAAACATGCCTTCAGTGTTTACAGCAACGACTGGCGATCCAGTTCCTGTTTCTGTAGTATTTTCTGGAGTATCCTGTTTTGAATCTAACAGCATGGTGTCTTCGGATGTATTAACAGTTTCAAAACACTCAACCAATACTGTGGTCATTTTCGGTTCCAATTCATTGTTTGGTTCATGTGTTTTAGGCACTTCATTGGAAATTTTATGCAACGTTTCTGTTGACTGCAATTCAGAAGTTATGGTGTTTTGTTCACGCTCTGTCACGTCTTCATCCTTCTCAGATGCAAGCAACACATCTCCTACTGCATTTTCAGCACTTTCAGAACAATATGTTTCCATTAAGTTCTGCTTTTCAGCATTTGAAAGTGTGTCCTCGATGGAATATTTAAACTGAGGAAGCACATCTTCTGATTGTGATTTAAGTGCTGTTTCTTCATCCTTCTCGTTTTCCCCCTGATCATTCATCTCAAATATTTTTGTCCCCTTTTGATCCATAACATGTTCCCCTGCTTCTGTAATATCTTCTGTCTCTTCAGGGTCCCTCTTTTCTGTCTGTTTTTTAAAATCAGATTGGACAGTTATCGATGTGTAGCCTAGATCTTCTTTCTTCATCATACATTTTTCATCCTCATGACGCTGATCATCTTGTTCAGTTTTCCCAGTTAGCTTTATCTCATGTGACGTTTCACAATCTTTATCCTTCTCAGTTGCACTCCTACTTCCAAAATCAACCTGATCAGCCTCATTTTTAAAGAATTCATCAAAGTCATCAGAATAAGTGTCCAATAAATTCAGCTTTTCAGCCACAGAAAGGCCACCAGTACGGTATTCCAGAAGTGGAGGCAAATCTTGCACCTTTTCTTCATCATTCTCAATCATTTCATCATCAGCAAACTCTACCTCATTTGTATCTGCATGTTGTAAACCTCCAATGACTTCATTCTCGCCGTGGTCCGGTTTTTCAACATGCTTCTGAAGCTCAGATTGGACCAGTATATCTGCAAGATCTAATTCATCTTTCATCACAGACTTTTCATCCTGATTATTCCAGTCACATTCTTTGTTTTTACTATCTTCTTCTTTAGTTTTCCCAGTTTGCGTTATCTTGTGTGATGTTTCGCTATCTTCCTGCTCAGTTGCACCCTCGGTTCCAGGTCCCTGATCAAGCTCATTTTTACAGAATTCATAAACTTCATCAGAATATGTGTCCAATAAATTCAGGGTTTCAGGCTTTGAAAGCCCATCTGCTTCCCTTCTGGAATACCGTAAAGCAGGAGGCAAATCTTGCACCTTTTCTTCATCATTCTTAATTGTTTCCTCGATATTTTGATGAACAAATTCTACCTCATTTGTATCTGCATGTTTTAAACCTCCAATGACTTCATGCTCTCCATGGTCTGGTTTTTCATCTACATCTTGTTCCTGAAGCTCAGATTGGACCAGTATATCTGCATCATATAATTCATCTTTCATCACACATTTTTCATTCTGATTTTTCCAGTCACATTCGTTATTTTTAGCATCTTCTTCTTTAGTTTTCCCAGTTTGCTTTATCTTATGTGATGTTTCGCTATCTTCCTGCTCAGTTGCACCCTCGGTACCAGGTCTCTGATCAAGCTCATTTTTAGATAATTTATAAACTTTATCAGAATATGTGTCTAATAAATTCAGTGTTTCAAGCTTTGAAAGTTCATCTGCTTCCTTTTTACTGTATTCCAGAAGTGGAGGCAAATCTTGCACCCTTTCTTCATCATTCTTAATCGTTTCCTCATTATTTTGGTGAACAAACTCTACCTCATTTGTTTCTGTATGTTTTAAACCTCCAACGACTTCATTCTCTCCATGTCCTAGCTTTTCATCTTGTTCCTGAAGCTCAGATTGGACCAGTATATCTGCATGATCTAATTCGTCCTTAGTCACACCCTTTTCAACCTGATCACATTCTTTGTTTTTAGCATCTTCTTGTTCAGTTTGCCCAATTTCCTCCAACCCATGTGTTGCGTCACTCTCTTTACGCTCAGAATTTGCTGTTTCTTTTTTAGCATGAGCATCACCAGACATACTCCCAGTCCCAGTTGACCACTTTGCAAAACGGTACGTTTGTGTTTTAGGGACGTCAATGTTAAGTTCATCATTACTGTCATCCTTGACCACACCAGTATTTTCCCACTGGACTTGCGCTCTGACATCAGGTGAAGAACCCTTGATCTCTGCTGTATTTTTGTCATGTTGGCTCTCACTACTTTCTGCCTTCACTTCTTTGTCAGTTTTATTAACTGCAGCCTCATCTGATCTAGAATTAACGCTTTGGTTTCCTTTATCTGTGACTTCCGGTCTGAGGTATCTCGCAACAGCCCCTGACAGATAACCCTATATGAGCAAAACAATGAAACACACTTGTCACATGAGTGCATAAAAATATGTCATATAATAGTTATATAAGTAATACATAATAGGTATATAATCTTAACTGAGTTATCTTATAATAATTAAAAATAGACATGTGACAGAATCGTTGGACGAGCAAAACACTATTGATAGTCAGTAGCCCAAACTGAGGTAAAGCTGTTTATATATTCGATTATTTAGACATTCTCCTTAAAAATATAATTTCAGATAAGCCTATTATTTGGTAATTCTAACAAGGAAAATCATATTAGCCAATGGATATTAAAGTAAAACATTGTGCACCGTCAAATAAATAGTGCTAATGTTGTTTTGAAGTACTTGCATGCCATCCCTGCAGAAAAATCCAGCTTAAACCAGCCTAGGCTGCTGGGCTGGTTTTAGCCGGTTGACCAGGCTGGATTTAGAGGGGTTTTGGCCATTTCCAGGCTGGTTTCCAGCCATTTCCAGCCTGGTCTTAGCTGGTCAGGCTGGAAAATGACCAGCTAAATCCAGCTAAAACCAGCTTGACCAGCCTTGTTTCCAGCCTGGTTTTAGCTGGTCATCTCCCAGTCTGTCAAGCTAAAACCAGGCTGGAAATGGCTGGAAACCAGCCTGGAAATGGCCAAAACCCCTCTAAAACCAGCCTGGTCGACCAGCTAAAACCAGCCAACCAGCCTAGGCTGGTTTAAGGTGGTTTTTTCAGCAGGGATTTCAGACCGAATATTTAAAGTAGCCTGGTAAATATAATAGACAATTGAATTAACGAATGTGCGGATATAAAACCAACTTTACCTCAATATAGCCAAATAGGAATAACTTAACCAGTTAGAGTACTGACTAAAAAAACAGCTTACTCACCCAAACAGTCCAAATAGTGCGAGCAATACGGCTCCCCGAGTTTTCAGGCGCATCCATATCCGATGTAAAGCAAAATTAAGAGTGTTGACAGATTTGTTAAACCCCCCTTACGTTTGTCGTCCTGTTGCTTTCTTTACATCGCCCCTCAGATCATAACAACATCAAGTTATGTTTTTACTGAGCGACGTAAATGTTACGTGACATTTGTTAAGTTCCTTGTTCTCATATGTTCAGTGTTTAATGAGGAAGACGAGCTGTGTGAAGCTGCGATAACAACAGCAAACGCGCAAGCACAAACTCGCACGGCTTGTGGTGTAGAAAGCATTACTCACTGGCCCTGTCATGTTTAACCACACATCATTGCAGCGAACACTTCTCTAAATATACTGGCGCTGTGTCAAAACCTAGTCCGCTAATACAGGCGCGTGCTATGTTTTAGTCTTTAGCCTACACGAGTGCGCAGTATTTTGCACACTAGCCACATTTAAATATTTTGTTGGGGCATTTTAATGGTGTGCATAGTCAAAATACTCTCTCTATGAAGCACTCTCATTTGAGTTTGAGACACAACCACATTTTTGCTGCTGCGCAACAAGTGTGTGCACTGTGCAGCACCTCAAACTTCCCTAAGATATTTCATCATATCTGATTAAAACATAGCGGAGTGTCCACTTGGCTAATTATTCTAGTTTATGCTACAAAGCAAAGTCCAAGACTTTGATAAAAGGTTAAAAAAATCCAGTCCATAATTACTTTTTATATTGAAAGCCCACATGGAAAGAACCTAGCCTATATAAACATATATATTTTAATATAGGTTTTGACATAGGAATTTAATATATGTGACATATACAGAATTGACTTTCTGTTGACATATTTATGTACATATATATGTGCATACATGTACCTATATAGGTAGATGTATGCATATATGTACCTATTTAGGTACATATATATATGTTCACCTATGTTTACCTATATATTAGTAAAATTGCTAGACAACATACATAAAATCCCACGTCGAAATTTACAAACGTTTGCACATACATACTTTATATATATATATATATATATATATATATATATATATATATATATATATATATATATATATATATATATATATAAGCAATACAGGAGACCTATATGGCCTATATATTTATATATTAATATTATAATATATACACATATATGCAGCATATTTATTATCATATATGTACATATACAGTTAAACTTAGAATTATTAGTTCCCCTTTGATTTTTTTTTTTCTCAAATGATGTTTAACAGAGCAAGGAAATGTTCGCAGTATGTCTAATAATATTTTTTCTTGAAAAGAAAGTGTTATTTGTTTTATTTAAGCTAGAATAAAAGCAGTTTTTATTTTTATTTTTTAAAATAGTTTACAGAACAAATCATTGTTAAACAATAACCTGCCTAAATACCCTAACCTGCCTAGTTAAGCCTTTAAATGTCACTTTAAGCTGTATAGAAGTGTCTTGAAAAATATCTAGCAAAATATTATTTACTGTCATCATTGCAAAGATAAAATGAATCAGTTATTAGAGATGAGTTATTAAAACTATTATGTTCAGAAATGTGTTGAAAAAAATCTGCTCTCCGTTAAACAGAACTTGGGGAAAAAAATAACAGAGGGCTAATAATTCTGAATTCAACTGTATACTGCATATAGGTTCCATATATGCGCATATATCCTCATATAGATTCTTTCCATGTGGGAATACGTCATTTTGTGTGTTTTTTCCAACAAATTAGTGACATCATTTATTAATTTGGCAAATAAAGAATTAAAACCCTGTAAATCGTCTAAACAATTTAGTAGTTTTGATCAGGAATGTTTGATTAACAGATTTATGCAAAAATCTGATGCATTTTTGCAGCAGCTTAATTCAGTGGATGTTTTCATCCTGAACATAACAAAACTGCAGTGAATTTGCCCAGAGTGTATTGTTGAGTTTTTATATATATATATATATATATATTTTTTTTTCAATGCATTTTCTTAAAGTTTATGACAAAATAAGATTTGTCATCAAAAATTATTTGGCTAGTTGAAACACAGAAAAAGTTATGGTCAAATTAAGACTCACAATCACCCCAGAGTGGATGAAAACATCCCCAACAGAACATAAGGGTTAAGTTATAGGTTCAATAAAAGCTTGTGAGTAAGTGTTGTGGTTGAGGTTTGACAGTGTTTTATTTTTAGTGTTCCAGCAAAATTAGTCACCGTTGTATGATGTTTGTCCTATATAATGTTTTACACACACACACACGACGGCTTTATTTAAAATAGATTATTAAATTACAACTGAAAGCAATTAAGAAGAGCATAAATGCCAGTGCTAATTGAAAAATACATCCAAAAGTAAAATTCTAGAATAAAAAAAATATAATATAAAATAATATAAAATATAAAATATATTGATGAAAGTGCAAACATTTTGCGATGGAATTTTGACAAAAAATCATAGAAACTGGTGCCTTCTTTGTCCACACAACAACTTGATTTGAAATGGTTTATTAATTTACAACTGAAGTGCATCAATATTAGTGCAAAAGTCTAGTAGACTTTATTAAAAAATATATCTAAATTAAAATCCAAAAATAAAAAATCTGTATGAAAGTGCAAATGTTTGGCGGTGGAGTCCATAGACCAGGGGTTCCCAAACTTTTCAACCCACGACCCCCAAAATAACAATGCCAGTGACTCATGACCCCCACTATCCTCGGAGGTGGTGATTAATACATAAACCTTGTGCACACACAACAAACAGGCCCAAACCTTCTAAAATCATTTAATTTTGGAGACTGCCACTTGGAGAGCATTCTCCATGTTCAGTTGTGGCCTGTATTTATTTTTAATGTACGTGTCAGAAAGTTTAACCTGGCGCCATAAAATCAAATGTTTCCATGTTTAATATAACGTAATCAACCCAGGGGTCTTTTTATTTGCATGTTGTTTTTTTTAAACTAACTGTTACCTACTATACACTACCTGACAAAAGTCTTGTCGCATATGCAAGTTTTAGGAACAACAGACAATAACTTGACTTCTAGTTGATCATTTGGTATCAGAAGTGGCTTATATGAAAGGCAAAGGCCTCTAGATCGCGCTTATTTTACCAAAATAAAATATGATCATGCCTTGATTTTTTATGATTTAATTAGAACAGTAAGAATATAGAATATAAAGTCCTGCTGCAGTGCAAACAGAATGAATATTGTGTCTGACTCCATCATGAGCTTGGAGGACTGCATCCATACATCTCTGCAATGACTCAAATCACTGTTTAATAAAGTCATCTGGAATGGCAGAGAAAGCGTTCTTGCAGGAGTCCCAGAGTTCATCAACATTCTTTGGATTCATCTTCAATGTCTCCATCTTACCCCAGACATGCTCAATAATGTTCATATCTGGTGACTGGGCTGGCCAATCATGGAGCACTTTGACCTTCTTTGCTTTCAGGAGCTTTGATGTGGAGGCTGAAGTATGAGAAGGAGTTTAATTGTTTAATAAAATGTATTCGATTTTTGGAAATCACCAAGCGACCCACAGAGGGATCCCAACCTCATCTTTGGGAACCACTGCCATAGGCAATGCTAAAAGAAGTGCCTTCTTTCTCACAAAGGTGTTTTTTTAAAGACACAAGACAACTTGATTTGAAATAGTTTATTTAATTACAGCTGACAGCAAGTAATTATTAAAAAGAGTGGAGTTAATAGGCTTCTACAACATTCTGCATCATACAGTTAGTAGAAAAATACTTTAAAAAATAATCTAATATAAAATGAATAAATATGTATGAGGGTAATTCTTCAACTACGGGCTCTTTTATGTCCTTTGGTTATATATCCAAAAATATATATAGTTTTGTTCGAATTTCTCTTTCTTTGTCAAACTAACAATAAATCTACATTACAAAATTTACCAGCTTTCTATTATATATTTTTCATACTATTCAACCTCCTTTTAGCTGTTAAAATCAGTCGCACACCCAGCGTTTTTAAGAGTTCACACTTAGCTCATGATTTATACATAGCTTGTTTGGCGTGCTGTCCAGGGTGAGAGCCCTGAGCTCAAGGGATCCTCGAGCCCAGGGCTCCCGCATTTCACAGGGCGAGGGGAGATTGAGCTCAGGTCGATCTCAAACTCCCCGGTTGCTGAGGCCAAGGCGAACTTCCTGAGAGTAAGACATTAGAAAAAAGATTTAGGCTTATTTTATCTATAATATAGAGCACATTTGGATGGTGGGAGGAAATCGGGTAACACCCACGCAGACACGGGGAGAACATGCAAACTCCGCACAGAAATACCAGATGGCTCAGCGAGGATACAAAGCTATTGGTATTCTTGCTTTTAGGCAACATTGCTAGTCACTGGGGCACCGTGCCGCCCACTGTGGATAAAGGTGGAAAAAGGGGAGGAGGGGGGTTTCTTCCAGACGAAAACAGTTGTAGAAAGGAAATGAGGATATATATAGGGATTTGGGATCCTTTGATTGGAGGATCATGATTAGCTAATGTGGACCAGCTGGGTCAATCATGAGCACATGCTCCTCTGGAAATTAGTTTAAAAATTAAACTTCACTTAAACAATGAAAATAACATTTTATAAAATTATTTATCTGGTATCTGTTAATGTATCTTAAATAATTTAAATATTTTATAGTTATTAATGTGTGACTATTATCAAAATAATTTTTTATACAAAATATAGCTGTCGCACAGAATCAGCCTAATTTCCAGCACAACTTTGTAATGTCGCTTTAAAAAGTTTGTTTGAAAGATTATTTAGCTGGTTACCATGAAAATGAGTAGTGCCTTCTGAACACTTGAAGAAAAAAAAAAAAAATCAATGTAAATATTGCTCGATAAGGAAATACATTTATTCTACGTCATTTCCAAACATGTTGTACCGTCAAAGATGTTTTTAAAAACCAAACAAAGAGAAGGTAAATAAGAGTGTTTTGTCTACATGAAAGGCTAGTATCAATTCAAAGCTAATCGCTTATAACGAAGGGGCTGACACAGAGGAATCCATTTGCAGTTTATTTATTAAACACAAGTTTAATAAAGACAAGCACACAGATGTAATGCGTGTGCGAACTCACATCAAACACAATAGTGTTACGTTGAAGGGTTGGCGGCAGGGAACCACAGTAGGAATGTTCAAGCATGGGTCTGAGGCAGGCGGCGAATATCAAGGTCGGTGTCAGGCAGAGGTACAAGGCAGGCGGTTTGCAGGACGAGAGGTAAGGTAAGGAACAGGAACAGGAACAGGAACAGGAACAGGAACAGGAACAGGAACAGGAACAGGAACAGGAACAGGAACAGGAACAGGAACGCAGGCAGTGTAGCGAACCACTCAGTAGTGTTAGCCAGGGCAGAACAAGACTTCGCAATGAGTGAGTGTTTGTGTGCTGCTTATAAGCGTGAGCGTGGGTGATTAAGTGGATACGCTTCAGGTGTGCAGGCTATCAGTGTAAGTGAATGACGTAATGGTTAATAGTCCGGGGATGGTGACCTCTGCTGGCCAGCTAGGGGAATGACTGGGACCGAGTCGGTGACATCGCTGAAGCTATTTTTAATTTTTTTCACAATAAACTGTTGAAATGTCATTTACATCACCACACACATTAAAATATATAAGTATATGTATAAGTTCATGCTCTATTTAACATACAAATTCAGTCTATTTATTTTCTAATAAGCTCTTAACCAAATTAACATTAAATGTTAGCGTGTGACAGGTGTACAATTCAGCATACAACTCATTTATTTCATTGACAAATGTATAATTATTATATGTAATGTGGAAATATTGGTTTAACTAGATTCAAAAATGATCTTAGACAATGTTTGACTGCCTTCATTTATTTCATTTTGAAATAAGCTGTATATTGGTGGAATTGACATTCCAGTTCACAAGAAAAAAATGTTCCTCTTCATATCTAAGTTTGTCCTCTCACAGATCTTAAAACTAGACAAATTGTTTAAACTTATGAGTAGGGCCAGACGGAGTCTGCGGATGTTTTTTGCTGTTTCAGCGTAGAATTTTGGTAAAAATCTGTGGATTTCTGAGGAAATATTTTGGGAGTATCATAACTAAAACCGTAATATACGAAATAAAAAATAATATCTTTTTTTTTTACTTTTATTAAATGTTTAAAATGCAAATCCAATTAGATTCACTATATTTGGTAAATAAAGCAAGTTTGTCATATAATATCTCTAGTAAAAGACAGAAAATATTACTGTACAAACTGCATTGTACATAAATCAGATGAACATTTTCACATTATTCAATAATATTACTGTAATTAATCTAAAAAGTGGATAAATATAGATTTACACACATTAATTCAAGTAAATAAACAGAATTAATGATGGGCTACAAATCTGCGGAAATCTGCACGCGCAGATACTGGGTGGGGCGACTTATGAGGCTATGTTACGTTAACTTTGAACAAGTTTTTTTTACTCAACTTCACAAGGCTAAAAGTGCCCGTAGTTGAAGAATGGCCAATGAATGCACAAGTGCTGTGGTGGAGGTTTCATGTCTATAAGCCTTCTTGGTGATGAACAACACTAGTCTCGACGCCTTTGTTCTCACATGCTCTGTTTATTTTAAGACGCATGACAGTTTTAGTTTTAAGGTTAATTTAGTTTTTAATCACAACAGCTGAACGTGTAAAATGAATACATACATTGTTTTTTTAATGCATCATGTGATTAGTAGAAAAAGTAAAAGAATAAATAAATATAACAGCAAAACTTAAGTATAAAGAATCATGTGCCCAAAGTTGGATAGTTGCACAGGGCAGATGCAAGCTTTCAAAATAATCTTGATGTCCGTCAAGATGATGCTTCCTCTGCCGGCTCTGCAAAACACAAAACTGAGAAGTAAACTTGACCTTCTGATCCAGGTCACTGATAGCAGCCATTTGAGCATTGACTAGGTAATAATAATATAACTTCTATAGGGTACATCCGAAACGTTTAGTTTAGGAACATTGTCATTTTAATTTCAAGTCAGTCCTGAATTAAAATGTTCCACATGTGATTAAACTTGTAAAGCTCATGTATTATTTTTCTCTTAGGGTGTAAATGATCAACTTATAATAAATAAATATATATATATATATATATATATATATATATATATATATATATATATATATATATATATATATATATATATATGTATATATTTTAGTTGATATTTTTCAAGACACTTCTATACAGCTTAAAGTGACATTTAAAGGCTTAACTAGGTTAATAAAGTGAACTAGGCAGGTTAGGGTAATTAGGCAAGTTATTGTATAACGATGGTTTGTTCTGTAGACTATCGAAAAAAATTAGCTTAAAGGGGCTAATAATTCTGTCCCAAAATAGTTTTTAAAAAAATTCAAAACTGCTTTTATTCTAGCCGAAATAAAACAAATAAGACTTTCTCCAGGAGAAAAAATATTATCAGACATACTGTGAAAATTTCTTTGCTCTGTTAAACATCATTTGGGAAATATTATAAAAAGAAAAACAAAATCAAAAGGGGGCTAATAATTCTGACTTTAACTGTATGTCATATGCCCATCCTGTACCTTATTAATAAGCAAAAGACACATTATTTACCTATTTTTAAGAGGGAAGTGGAATTATTTATGCAAAACATGCATTTGTCCATTAATTTGCATTGAATGCACAATCTGTATGACTCTTTTTCAATAAAATATCAAAAACCACTAAAACAATGTTGAATATTTTGTTGACTTAGACACTAACATTATCTCAAAAGTTTCGAAGAATGTTCAAATCAAGAGAAATAAGCAATTTTACCCATAGATATATACACTAGATATCGCTTAGGGACCCTGAGCATGCGTCAATAGCGCCGCCACATTGGTACAGTGCTCCCAGGACAAATGTCATTCAACCGCACTAGTCAAGACAGTGTTATTACGTGAAGATGCGGGACTTTAGCGCTGTCTACGGGTGTAGAAACGAGCAAACAAAGAAAACAAAGCACAAAGGCAGAACATTTCATAGGTAATATTGAGTTTTTTTCTGTTTTTGTATGTTCTGAACTTTTGTGCTAATCAGGTAACGTTATTGATGATGACAGTCACTTACTGCATTCACCATACGGCAAAGCAGCTTCAACTCGCACTAAACACTCGGCTTATGCTAGTTTTGTTGAATAAAATCAGCAAACAATGCAAAAGAAATATGACAACGAGATGCTGCGCTGCCAGAAACTTGTATTATTGTCGGCTAACGTTAGTGAAAGAGTCGCTCGGGGGATTTATTCACAAACGAATCGCTCCCTCCGTCAGTATGAGAAGTGAAAGCAGGAGAGGAGGTGTGTTTCAGGACATGATTAGATCAAATTTAACAAGGAGGGTGAATAGTACATTTCTGTACACACAAACACAAGCTTTTTATCAGGAATGCCCGTGCGGTCACTGATCCATCAATGTAGAAAAGTGATGTAAAATTATAATTTTCGTAATTAGAAAAAAAAATTACATACTAACATCCAGGAAAACTCCCGATCATAGATATGTGTGTATATGTGTATATCTCTGGCTTTGCATGGCCACAGTCCTCCACTGTACCTTGGTCCCGCATTCATTTCAAAGGAGCGCTACCCTGTACCAAGATGGCGGCGCTATTGACGCATTCCTTTCAATAGACAACAATAGGCCAGGCGACATCTAATGTATATATCTATGAATTTACCAAGTGAGATGGAGAGGGTGCTGTGTGCTAATGCTAATGACGTTAACATTTCCTTTTTTGTTTTATAGAAAACTGGGAAACAGCAAAGATGCTTTAATATGTTGTGAGTTTTATCCAGCCTGATCTCACGTGGAAATTTTACGTTACGTATTTTACGTTTTGTCAGTTTAGTGGCTAATTCGTACGAATTCAGTTGTATGAAAATGTACGATTTTAAAAAGGAGGCGTGGCACCTAACCCCACCCCCTAACCCCAACCTTCATCGGGTGATGAGCAAATAGTACTAAAATGTACGAATTAGATCGTACGAATTCATACGAATTAGCCACCACATCAAAAAGTTACGACTTGCCGTGAGATTGCGTTGGTTTTATCAGACTGCACAGAGCAGCATTATAACACAAAGTTTAAATGTATTTAGCCTGAAAAACTGCGATGTTTCTTCTCGTGATCATGAGTGGAAGAACAAGAAGCCTTAGACTCTGGCATAATAAAAGCTCTGATGCTTTTGTCGCATTTGTTTCTCTTCAGCAATTGCTTTAGTGCTGTTTCACTTTCACTCTTACAGATTCATCCTACCATGATAATAAATCCACCCACATGATTTCTACATAACATCTATGATGTAATGAAGACCACAATTCCCATGATTCCACACTCAGTCACAGTATAATCAAACTACGCCTTTGTTTGTTGTAAATGCACGCCCTCTACTGGTGAGAATTACATACTGTGCCTTTAAAGGTCCTGTGAAGTGCTTTGAAATGTGCAGTTTTTATTCCATGTTTGACAATCTTTGAAATCGAACTGAAAAATGAAGAGTGGATGAGACATTGAGTAGCTCCTTCCCTTAAAAATGAATAAAAAAATAAAATAAAAAAAATCACAGGAACGTGGTTATCATCAAATAAAAGGTAAACAAGACATGTTTGAAAAGGGGTGGGGCATGTCAGATACTAGAGAGCATTTGATTGGTTAAGATTTGATGACAACCTAAAGTATGAGGTGACTTAAAAAATCTTTTGACCCATTAGGTGGAATTGACAAACTGCATCGGTGCATCCTTTGGATATTTATATCAGTTTTTTATTTTTGAAACATGAATTAAGTCTCCGTTTTGAAGCACAATATTTAATAGATATCCTTTAAACTAACATCTATATATTTGTAGTTTAATTTCACAGGACCTTAAAGAGTTAACTCATGACATTGGGGGTTCAGAAGTTTATAAAAAAAGCTGGGTTCCACACGATTTATTCATGTTGTCTCAACACAAGTTGATCAAGTGGACTTAATTGTTTTTACAAATTTAAGTGGATTAAACATAAAACAATTAAGTTGTCCTAAAAATCTTAAGAATTTAGTGGTTTCAGCTCATTTTAAATAAGTATTTTCATTTTTTTTTGTGTATAGGATTGCTCAAACTCTTATTTTGGGTGTTGCATTTTGCAAATTACACACATCTTTTCCCTCAGCAAGCATACATTTATTTACCTGTCCAGGTACGGTATGCAGGCAAGTGTAGTGCAGGATGTGTAATCTCAACTGTAACTCTCAGACGTTCACTCTTCTCTTTCCTAAGTCTCACAGTGTTTACATGGGATGGATGCATGTCCTCGTTCTCATCATTCTCTTTCGTGTGTTTGTTCGGCTCAGGCTGTTTCTCCTCTTGTACTGATTTCAGTCCATCCACACATTCATTCACCTTCTCATAGTCTGTATTGAAGTCCACACTAGGCGGCCTGATTTCTGTAGAATAAGCCAGAACTTTGTTTTCAAGATTTTTAGATGATATGATATTGAGAAACATTTAGATTACTTGGCATCAAGTGAACAGTTTTAGTAAACAAAAACTAAGACTAAAATTATTGTGCAAATATCATTATAGTTAACAAAAAATAAAAGGTCCCACTTTATATTAAGTGTCCTTAACTACTATGTACTTACATCAAAAATAAATACAATGTACTTACTGTGTTTATAGTGTATTTGAGAACACTTGTGGTGCTTTTGAGTTGGGATAGAGGTTGGGTTATGGACAGGTTTGGTGGTGTGGGTAGGTTTAAGGGTGGGTTAAGGTGTAAGGGATGGTCAAGATTGTATTTATAAATTTAATTACAAAAGTTAATTACAGATGTAATTACATACAGGTATTTAATCAAACATGGTACACAGTAAATACATGTAAATACACAATAAGTACATTGTAACAAACTATTAATTACTGTGTAACTACATATTAGTTAAGGCCACTATATAAAGTGGGACCAAATAAAAAGCAAAGTAAAAAAATTAACAGCAGTTACTAAAAATTAATAAGCACTAATTTTGTGGCGGAAATTAGGGAATGCCTGTAGATGACACTTTTACAGCAAAATATATCAGTCAATTTTATATATATATATATATATATATATATAAACAACACGCAAGGTTGGTTTTGGGTTAAGTGTCTGTTCAAATAATTTAAGAGGTTTGCACAAGAGGTAATGTAAGCTCCGCCTACACTAAACTCAGATCTTTGCTTTGTTTACTCTGGTAAATTATAATCACTAAAAATATAAAAATTAAAGAAACATTTTTTTTTTCACAAATTTAAAAATAGTATTGAATTTGAATTTAAAAAATGTGAAACTATAACTCTGCTTGCCTTCATGTTATTGTAATAAATATTGTTGTACGTGCTATTTACATGTCAAATAGTGTTGAAATGAAAACAAATTTAAAAATGCAAAACCATTGCGTTAGCGTAATAAATATTGGTATACGTACTACACGCATGTCAAATGGTATTGAAATAGCTATCATATTATCGTCATAAATATTGGTGTAAATACTATACGCATGTCAAATAATATTGAGATAAAAACACATTTAAAAAAAGCTAAACCATCATGTTATTGTAATAAATATTGTTGTACGTATTACGCGCATGTCAAATAATATCGAAATTAAAACAAATAAAAAAAGCTAAACCATGTTATCGTAATAAAAAATAATGTACGTACTACGCATGTGTTAACCAATATTGAAAAAGCAAAACTATCATGTTGTTGTAATAAATATTAGTGTATGTATTACACGCATGTCAAACAGTATTGAAATAAAAACTAATTTGATAACACAAAACTATAACAACCCTGCTTGCCATCATGTTGTTGCAATAAATATTGCTGTACGTACTACGTGCATGTGTTCCTCTGCGACTCTCACTGTCCTTTCGTCCTGTAGACCTCACTAAAGCACAAACGCTCTTGAGCTCCAGCTTCCCCTCATTGTTTTCTCTCTCTCTCTCCTTTGACTGGAGCCTGGAGAGAGTCGAGCCGCCAGCGGCCCAGAGCACTTCAGCTGAGGGCCTTCCTCCACACAGAACAATGGAGAAAATTCCCACACCATCACTGCTCCAGTGAACCGACAGGGAAGGAGGGATCGATGGAGCAACTGATAAACAAAGCGGAGAAAGTCAAACGTGAGAACAAGTTAAAGGAACTGTACACTTTTTTTTTTTTTTTTGTAAAATAGGCTCATTTTTTCACTACACTGTAAAATTAAATGACAAAAAGTCAAGACAACAACAAATTTTATTTTGCTTATTTTAATAAGTAGATCAGGTTAACTAATTTTTTAAAGTTATATAAAGTTTAACTATTATTTTTAGTGATTTATGCAACTTAAGATGACTAGAAAGTTAATTTGATTCAACCAAAAAAATTTAAGACAGCAAGAATTTTTTTACAGTGTAGAATTGAAGAGTTGAGTTTTACCATTTTTTAATCCATTCACCCAATCTCTGTGTCTGGAAGCAGCACTTTTAGCTTAGCTTAGCATAGATCATTGAATCGGATTAGACCATTAGCATCTCACTCAAAAATGACCAAAGAGTTTTATTAACTTTCCTATTATCATCTTGACCCAAAGTGAAAATAAGGTGAAATAAGTTGGAAGGGAACATCAGGCTCATTTTACAACACACCTGGAGTTAAAGTTGAGTTTTACTATTTATACATCCATTCAGCCAATCTTTAGGTCTGGCAGGAGCACTTTTAGCTTAGCATAGATCATTGAATCGGATTAGACCATTAGCATCTCGCTCAAAAATAACCAGAGTTTTTAATTTTTTTCGTAGTATTGCCATGCCCAAAAGTGAAAATAAGGGCAATAAGTTGGAAGGGAACGTCAGAGAAATTTTGAAAACAGCTTTTAACACAATGCTAACGTGATTTAGCAAGTTAATAACATATGTTAGCACACTGCTAACATGACGTAAAAAAATGGCTCATTTTACAACACACCTAGAGTTATACAGTTGAGTTTTACCATTGTTAAATCCATTCAAAAGCACTTTTAGCTTAGCACAAATCTTTGAATCGGATTAGACCAGTGGTTCTCAAACTGTGTTAAATGTACCAGTAGTGGTACGCAGGCTTCCTTCTAGTGGTACACGGAGGAATCGCTGAATAATAAAAGAAAATGAACACACTTTTAACCATTTGATGCAAACGATAACACGTTACATACTGCAGTTTTCTTTTTACTTTTGAAGAACAGTGCCATTTTTAATTAACTTTTAAAATCACATTTTAATTTAAATATATATATATATATATATATATATATATATATATATATATATATATATATATATATATATATATATATATATATTTGTTTTTTGTTTTTTGTTTTTATCTGTAAGCACTGGACTGTTAATGTTAATGTACTATTTTTAATGTTTTGAGAGGATGATGACAATAATAAGTATTCTAATTAAGAATAATCTGCCTTTTTTGCCTACTACGCTACTGTATTTCTGTACTGGGATACTGGTTATTATGGTGGTACATGGAGAGACATTTTTTTCTGAGGTGGTAATTGGTGAAAAAAAAGTTTGAGAACCACTGGATTAGACCATGAGCATATCACTCAAAAAACGAACACAGCACCTGAAAATAGTCCTGCACCTTTGAAGCTATGACCGCAAAGTTTCTTGATTATTATGCCAAAATGAGAGTATAGTTCCTATAGCCATATCAGCCTAGAAAATAGAAACTTTCATTTTCTGTTAGTTTTACTACACAATTTTACCACAGAAGAGCTTTAAGCTTTTTTAGGAAACAACAAAACTCTTTGGTCAGTTTTTGAGTGATATGCTAATGGTCTAATCTGATTTAATGATCTATGCTAAGCTAAGCTAAAAGTGCTCCTGCCTGACACAGATCAGCTGAATGGATTCAAAAACGATAAAACTGTACTGTTTAAGTCTAGGGGAGTTGAAAAAATTTGCCTATTTTCTAGATGGAGTGCAGGATTTACAAGTTCAGTGCATCCTCAATGCATTTGTAAATGTGTTTTGAGTATATTCCTATGTGGTTGCTTGGTGATCATGTTAAAATTGCTCGTAATCTTGATCAGATCACAAGCCAAGACACGTCGCTGTTTCCACTTGGTAATATTACGTGTTCAAATGTGTCTCTTCTGAAATACATAAAAGAGGATGTGGAGGACAATCAAGGTTCCGATCATAATCAGCTTTTTTTGTTGTTGTTAAAAACAACAATAAAGCAAAGTAGGAACACATTGTTTAGTTGTGCTTTCTCACAACACATCCCATAATGATCACGTTAGATCAGCAGATGGAGAACAGGTGATCTTTTGTGGCTTTTCAAATGCATTCGGCAAGCAAATCTGATCAAATCTGTTTTCTAGCTAACTCTGGAAGTAGATAGAAGTTTACATACTGTAAACGCCTCTGCTGTTCATTCATTCATTCATCTTCTTTTCAGCGTAGTCCCTTTATTAATCAGGGGTCGCCATAGCGGAATGAACCACTAATTTATCCAGCACATGTTTTACGCAGCGGATGCCCTTAAAACTGCAACCCATCACTAGGAAACACCCATACACTCTCATTCACACACACGCTCATACACTACGGCCAATTTAGCTTACCCAACTCGCCTACACCGCATGTCTTTGGACTGTGGGGGAAACCGGAGCACCCAGAGGAAACCCACGCAAACACAGGGAGAACATGCAAACTGCAGACAGAAATGCCAACGGACCAGGCCAAGGCTCGAACCAGCGACCTTCTTGCTGTAAGGCGACGGCACAACCTGCTGCGCCAACTTGCCACCCACTTTACCATTGTTAAAATGTGTGAAAATGCATCTTAAAGAGATAGTTCACGAAAAAATTAAATCTTTGTCCTCGTTTACTCCTTTGTTCAAACCCTATTTGAGTTTCTTTCTCCTCTTGAAAACAAAAGAAGATATTTTGAAAAATGCTGGTTGATGACACCCATTGACTTTCACAGTAATTTGTTTCCCTACTATGGAAGACAATGGCTGCCACCAAGATTTAAAACTACATGAGGGAGAATAAATGATGATGTAGTTTGACATTTTTGGGTGGACTGTCCCTTTAAGACCCATTTCAAACATCATTAATAATGGTCATGAGTCATGACTTCCTAAACCACATGACATACCTTTAGAAGTCATTATTAATTGGAGATAAACAAGCTAATCTCTTCACAAATGCTTATAAATGTCTTTTTGAGAAGAGAAACAGCCACACTTATTTTTTGGGTGGTTGGTCAGTTAGATATTTATAAACAAAGCTTATTTTAAATAATACATTAAAGGAATAGTTCACTCTAACATGTAAATTCATTCATTTTCCTCCGGCTTAGTCCCTTATTTATCAGGGGTAGCCACAGCGGAATGAACCGCCAACTATTCCAGCATATGTTTTATGCAGTGGATGCCATTACAGTCTCGACACAGTACTGGGAAACACCCATACACATTCATTTATCAAATTTACATATACTGCATGTCTTAATAATCAAGGGGCAAATCTGACGCATCTCCATACGCCACACAATAGATTAAATTTAAATGATTTAAATTTATTGATAAATTTAAAACAAATTGGCCTTATTGATGATATTATTACATAAATGTTGTTTTTTATTAATTATTAATTATTAACTAACAAATATCAATCACATTATATTTCTTAGTTCAGCTAATTCAAAAGCATGTAATCCAAATGGACGGAGCAATCAGAATACATAAATCTCATTTGTTCGGTCCAAATTTTTTTTTGAGCATGCAAGTTGCTTAAGAGAAAAACATCTGCTAAATGTATAAATGTAGATAGAGATAATTTTTTCAATACATTTCTAAATAATGATTTTAATAATTAATTTCTAATAACTGTGTAACCACGGGAGGGAGTGACAGATACAACTTGAGGTAAGATCCAATATGCAGGTTTATTCAGCGTCAGGCAAGCAGTGGTCATACAGGTGCAAACGGGTATATGCAGGCAGTCCAGAATCGTAATTGTATAACAGGCTATAGGTCGCAAGGCAGGCGGCTAAACAGGAGAACAAAAGGTAAACAAGGCTGAAGTCTAAACACGGGGTAACAAGGCAAGGAGTAACGCGTTGTAATGCAACTGAAACAGCTAAGAGTGGCTTATGAATGGTGTGTTATCAGTCTCTGACAAGGTTCAGCTGGTGAGTGTAATCAAGCTAGATGTGTGAGCATGGGTGTCTGGGAGAAGTGCATGTATGAAAATGTAGTCCAGGAAAAGGCGGAAGTGTAGTCTATGGTTTGTTGTGAGAACCAGCAATCTCTGGGGAGCGATCGCTGGTTATGTGACAAACTGATTTGTTTTATCTTTGTTATAATGACAGTACATAATATTTGACTAGATATTTTTAACGATGCTAATTTTCAGCTTAAAGGGATTTAAATGCTTAATTTGGTTTCTTAGGCAAGTTAGGTTAATCAGGCAAGTTATTGTATAACAGGGGTTGTTCTGTAGACAATCAAAACAAACAGCTTAAGAGGACTAATTATATTGACCTTAAAATGTTTTTAAAAAAATTAAAAACTGCTTTTATTCTAGCCGAAATAAAACAAATAAGACTTTCCCCAGAAGAAAAAATATTATAGGAAATATTATGAAAACTTCCTTCCTCTGGTAAATATAATTTGGGAAATGTTTAATAAAGAGAAAAAAATTCACCGGAGGGTGAATAATTTTCAACTGTACATTATTTTTAATTTACCGGTGTGAGTATTTCTCCAGACTCTGTCGACGGGCTTCAGGAGGCAACAGTGTGAAACTCTGCAGATGATCTGGCCTCCCCTCGTCATCTCATTCACATCTTTCAGTAAAGCTTTAGCCCGAAATGTCCTGGGCAGAGTTTGCAGCGGCCCCCAGACCTCAGCTCCATCTTTGATTTCCTCTTCGCTGTCGTCTCCATCCTCAATCTCGTTCCCTTTTGAATGCAGCCATTTGACGGAGATTTCCGGAGGGTAGAAACCAGTAATTTCACAGGCGAGGGTCAAACGCCCCTCCAATACAGATGCAACAGGACAGGAGAGGATTTCTGAAATACTGGGCTGTTTAATGAATCCTTAAAAGAAAAATAATGTTATTTATATATTAAAAAACATATTCAAATTACATTTTATTTAAAGAATTTCAACCTAGATGTTGGTTTTGTGTATAGTTTGCCCAAATTTAACTTAGATTTCTTTTTTTGATGTGTAAAATGTTTTACATTTCATTTGCAAAAATTCTTTAAAAATAAAGGTACATTAGGCCACATCATTATTTATTCATTCTTAACAACTGATGAACCCCTGTGTTTAAAATTGAGCATGGCATTAGTGGTGGATACATCAGTTAAGCTTACATCAGCTGACCGTCTGCTGTTCAGGACATGAACCAATCCGGTTCTGACATCTTTCACAGCGAAATATTTAAATTTTACATCCAGTCTCTCTTCAGCTCTGGGCTGCTCGCCAATTCTACACTCCCTCCACCCTCCCCAACTCCTCCTAGATCATTTCTGATATCAGTTCATACAGCAGTGTTAGCCAAGTATATGGCAATCAGCCTTATTTCTCTGGCATTTACATGAGCTTGATGCTGCTTTTTCTGCTCTGTTCATCCATGTCACATGGAGTTTTGCCCAGAACAAAACTCTCACCAACACTAACTGCATGCTTAATATGCACTCTCTGGCCACTTTATTAGGTACACCTGTCCAACTGCTTGTTAACACAAATTTCTACTCAGCCAATCACATGGCAGCAACTCAATGCATTTAGGCATGTAGACATGGTCAAGAGGATCTGCTGCAGTTCAAACCGAGCATCAGAATGGAGAAGAAAGGGGATTGAAGTGACTTTGAACATGACTTTAGAAAAAGAAAATATCCAGTAAGCGGCAGTTCTGTGGGCGCAAACGCCTTGTTGATGCCAGAGGAGAATGGCCAGACTGGTTCCAGCTGATAGAAAGGCAACAGTACCTCAAATAAGCACTCGTGACAACCGAGGTCTTCAGAAGAGCATCTCTGAACGCACAACACGTCCAACCTTGAGGCGGATGGGCTACAGCAGCAGAAGACCACACCGGGTGCCACTCCTGTCAGCTGAGAACAGGAAACTGAGGCTACAATTCACACAGACTCACCAAAACTGGACAATAGAAGATTGGAGAAATGTTGCCTGCACAACATACAATTCTTTACATAAAATTACTGAAGGCAAAAGCAAAGGCGACATGATCCAAGCAACTAACAGTAGACTATTTGTGCAAACACTGCTGTTTTGTTTTTAACCAGTTTTTAAGAACACTACTAAAAATATTTAGATTACCTTCTGATTTTAAGCTAACCGGTAAATCATTTCACAGTTTGGCTCCCTTTACAGATTGACCAAAGGAGGTCTTACACTTTGGCACTAGTCTTCATTTCTGCTGTGACATTCGAATGGTAGGATCAGAATTGGGCATCAACATCATGAAAGCATGGATCCATCCTGCCTTGTATCATCGGTTCAGGCTGGTGGTGGTGGTGTAATGGTGTGGGGGATATTTTCTTAGCACACTTTGGGCCCATTAGTACCAATTGAGCATCGTGTCAACGCCACAGCCTACCTGAGTATTGTTGCTGACCATGTCCATCCCTTAATGACCACAGTGTACTCATCTTCTGATGGCTACCTCCAGCAGAATAACACGCCATGTCATAAAGCGCAAATCATCTCAGACTGGTTTCTTGAACATGACAATGAGTTCACTGTACTCAAATGGCCTCCACAGTCACCAGATATCAATCCAATATAGCACCTTTGGGATGTGGTGGAACGGGAGATTCGCATCATGGATGTGCAGCCGATAAATCAGCAGCAACTGCGTGATGCTATCAAGTCAATATGGAGCAAAATCTCAATACTTCCACCATGTTGAATCAATGCCACGAAGGATTAAAGCAGTTCTCAAGGCAAAAGGGGGTCCAACCTGGCACTAGTAAGGTGTACCTAATAAAGTTGCCAGTGAGTAAATATATGCATTTAACGAAAGTGATCCTGTTCTTTATGACGTAGACAGATCACATCTACTGTTTTTTAACGTAAACACATACTTGGGCATGTGCATCATTATTGCTCTTAAAGTATTTGTTAAGAATGAGTTAACAATAAGTAACGTCCCCTTTAAGTAAAGTCATGACATAATGATAAATTAACAGGTCATGAGTTCATGTTGGTCTTTTAATTAGTTTTCTTTCTCATAGAGCGGGTTACATTTAGCTATAAACGAAAGTGTTAATCAATACATTCATAACAAACATGAACTAACAAGTAATTAAGGCAGTCATTGTTTAGTACACATGACTCATGTTGTAGTTAAACTTAGTTTTAGATTAGCGCATGCCTTAACTCATCATCAGTTCATAAAGTAAGTTTAGTTTACTTATTAAAACATCCTTATTCATGTACTGTTATTCCAAAGTGTTACCAAAACTAGATGTTTTCCTCCATCTCACCTCTAGTTTGGCGTGTGATGGGCTGTTTGAGGGCCGTGTGGTGAATGGTGACCCACACTCTGGTTTCTCCTCTCTCCAGCTCTGCTTTTGGCAGACGGCACTGACTCATGGCTGAGAAGAAGCCTTCAGCATCAGGCCGAGGGGCTGCTAGCGCCTGCGGGATGGACACAGGGCTCAGCTCGCCTCCCTCACAGAACCAGCGGAACGTGATGATGTCTGGATGAAAATGAGATGCATGTGCTGTCATCGTCACAACACCTGAGGACAAGAGCCATTACTGTATTAGCTTTATGCAAGGATGCATTTCTATCATTTGAATGCGTGTGCTGTTTGTGATCGATACCTCCTTCCTCATTGGGCTCTGAGAACTGGATCTCTGACACTTCAGGTGGTGCTAGACAAAGAGGGAATACTAACTTCATAAACAAACTATTAGGGATTTGTTTTACATTCTAAAAGAGAACAAATGACTTTAAACAGGAAGAACGAGGTGTAAGCTGTAGGGTGATACCTCATCAAGACTGGGTCAACATATATGGGTCAAATTTCAGGCTAGAAAAAAAGTTTGGTTAATAAAAGTACAGGTTAATTTAGAAGTACTAGAGGATTGGCGCATCAAAAAAATGTAACTCTGGCTGTTAATGTACTTTATTTTCAATTTACTATATTTTACTTACAGCATTTGATATATACTGTAAAATTATATATTTGATATACAGTTAAAGTCTAAATTATTAGCCCCCTGTTTTAATTTAATTTAATTTAATTTAATTTAATTTAATTTAATTTAATTTAATTTAATTTAATTTAATTTAATTTAATTTAATTTAATTTAATTTAACTTATTATTTTCCCCCTCAATTTTTTTTAACGGAGCGAAGATTTTTCAACACATTTCTAATCATAATAGTTTTAATAACTCATTCTTAATAACTGATTTATTTAATTTTTGTCATGATGACAGTAAATAATATTTGACTAGATATTTTTCAAGACACTTCTATACAGCTTAAAGTGACATTTAAAGGCTTAACTAGGTTAATTAGGTTTACTAGGCAGGTTAGATTAATTAGGCAAGTTATTGTATAACCATGGTTTGTTCTGTAAACCAGGGGTTCCCAAACTTTTCAGCTAGCGACCCCCAGAATAATAATGCCAGTGACTTGTGATCCCTAATATCCTCTAAGGTGTGATTAGTGGTTAGAAACCTTGCATGCATTGGCGCACACACACCAATAGACCAGTCTATTCTTCATTTTATTTTTTTAATGTATGTCAGTGCAGTAAATGTGCCAGAAAGTTTAACCTGGTATTATAAAATCAATCTGCTGCATCTAGTAACTATAAGCTACTATAGTAACTATATACAGTATAGTAACTATAAATGACTGTTTTATTATTAGGTTATAGATAAAATATGGTAATTCTTAAGGTTTATTAGAAATAAATAGATTTTTGGAAATCACTAGACGACCTCCCTTCATTGTCCCGCAACCCCTCGGGGGGGTCCCGACCCCAACTTTAAGAACCACTGCTGTAGACTATCTAAAAAAAAATTATAGCTTAAAGGGGGTAATTATTTTGACCTTAAAATGGTGTTTAGCTGAAATGAAACAAAGAAGACTTTCTGCAGATTAATTACATAATTGCAAGTAAATGTATAATTAAATGTATAACGGTTTTATTTCCAGCACACTCTTAACAAAGCTGGGTTTTGGGTAAATTTTTTCGAATAAATTTAAACAATGTTTTTTAAACCAGTAGGCTGAGTTTGTCCTTACTTGACCCAATGTTTTTCCAAAATATATTTATTGGGTTTTGTACAGAACTACAGAACAAAAAATTAAAATAAAAACTTTTTATTTTTATTTTTTATATTATATTATATTATATTATATTATATTATAATATATTATATTATATTATATTATATTTTATTATATTATATTATATTATATTATATTATATTATATAATATTATATTTCAATTTATTATATTATATTACATTATATTATATTTCATTATATTATATTATATTATATTATATTATATTATATTAAATTATATTATATTAAATTATATCATATTATATTATATTATATTATATTATATTATATTATATTTCATTTTATTATATTATATTATGTTTTATTATATTATATTATATTATATTATATTATACTATATTATATTATATTATATTATATTATATTATATTATATTATATTATTTAAATGAATTTGAACACATCTTCTCAACTCATAACTACCAGCTTTTCAGAATGACTTGAACACACAAACAGATTTCTCTCACCTAGAATAGTGAACTTTTCGGACACTCTCTCAGCCACAATCTTGTCTTTGCCTTTATACGAGACTTGGCATTTGAAGACTGAGCCCTTGTGAACGGCCAGGCTGGGTATAAATGTGACGGAGGAGAACAGTTGCTTGCTTGAGTTGGAGGACGAGCGCAGTGGCATCTGAGTGTGTAGTTTGTAATATCCCGAAGCACTAGAGGGCAGCAGAGGGTTTTTCTCAGACAACACAGACACACTAGAGTTGCGGGAGGTGTAGGATGCAGAGCGAAAAGCTCCATATTTCTTCTCTAGAGAGGGAGACAGTGAATGAATGATAATGCAGGTTAATAATTTGCACAAGTTAATAAATATTCCACTTGTAAAGCCACCACTTTCATATCTACTAAAGCTGTAACTGTGTTATCATCTGCATTTGATTTGTCCCAGTGCAGAAAGAATGCATTTAACGTCCATTTCAAAACATCAATAAACTAGAGGGGATCAACCAGTTCTAGATAACAAAACAACCGTCGCATTTCTTACATTTAAATTCACTGAAATATAATTGCAGTTGCTTCTTAAAGTGACTCTGCTGAATAACCCAGCTTAAACCAGCCTAGGATGGTTGGCTGGTTATAGCTGGTCGACCAGCCTGGTTTTAGAGGGGTTTTCAGCCATTTCCAGCCTGGTCTAAGCTGGTCAGGCTGGAAAGTGACCAGCTAAAACCATTTAAAACCAGCTTGATCATCCTGGTTTGAGCTGGACATAGCTGGTTTTGGTTGGGCTCCCATCTTGACTAAGCTGGTTTTAGCTGGTCATCTCCCAGTCTGCCAAGCTAAAACCAGGCTGGAAATGGCTTAAAACCGGCTTGAAAGTGGCCAAAACCCCCCCAAAATCAGGCTGGTTGACCAGCTAGGCTGGTTTAAGTTGGATTTTTTAGCAGGGTTTTAAAGGAATGGTTCATACAAAAAAGTAACCCAGCAAGCAGGCCCGGATTGGCTAATCGGGAGGACCGGGAGAATTCCCGGTGGGCCGGTCCGTTTTTTGGCCGCGAGGGCCGGTGTCCCAAGCTGCAGAATCTGTTGCTCTCAGCAGTCACACTTTTCGAATTTATTTATTTACTTGACCACAGCCTTTTTATTCATTATTTTACCGCAACTCTTCTCTTTTCATCTATTTTAATGATTATAAAACTCAGTTGTGTCTCCTTTCTGAATGCAGCTATTGTGGTCCAGCGGTTAGCACGTTAGAAAAAGACGCTGCGGATCCGAGTTCGACCCTCGTTAGAGTAACTTATTGTTTTCATTTTTATTGTTAAGACATATAATACTGTTAGGGTTGTTGAACATTTGAAGTTCTAAAGCAGCTGTTTTGTCAAAAAAAAGACGTGATAGTGTAATTACAAACTGATTTGGAAATGACCTTATTTTAATATAGTCAGTCGTGAACTGAGGTGGGCCGGTCTGAGGCTTGAAACTCCAGGGCTGAAAAGGTGTCCCACTCCGGCCCTGCCAGCAAGCACACGGTCAACATCAACATGGTGTCAGATTTTACCGTCAGATTTACCCTAATGTCTTGGGGACGTTGCATTTTGTTTGAAAATGAAAACGGAGTTGATGTCAGAACCCAACGCCAGGTCGACGTAAATGTCCAACCTAAAATCAAATATCAACAACTAATGATGTTACAGCTTGACGTTGTGTGGACGTTACCACTATGACGTCTATCAGATGTTGGATTTTGGTATACCTGACGAATAAATGTCAGTATTTGACGTCAATATGACGTTGGTTTAAGATGTTGGCTCGATGTTGTATTGAGGTCACTTTCCAACCTAAATTCAACCAACAATTTGGGTGGTTGTTACCTTTGTGCGAAGTGTCTTTGATGGGAATGTCATTCAGAAACCATGTCGTTTGAACTCTTTCTGCCAGCCGGCCTTCCACACTGATGGTGACTCTACCTTTTTTACCCACAACCACCCTGGGTGGCAGAACAATCGCTGAGATGTTCAGAGACTTCAGCTTCTCTGAGGGAGAGAGAGGTAAATTTGTTAGCATTTTCATTCAGTTCAGTGATCTCCAGCAAGAAACTATGCTGAGCTGAGGAAATATTAAAATGATGATTAGTGATAATAACAAAACAACCTTCAACTGGTATCAAAGTCACTGGTGCGTGATCAAACTTACCGTCTCTTCTTTTCCAAGAAAACCCAAAGCAAAGCAAGAAAACAAGTGTGAGTGAAATGATCATCATCGCTACCGAAGCCTTGGCTGATTTATTCAGGCCTGGGTTTTGCACTGGAAGAGATCAGAGCAGTAACATGTACACTTTGCATATCATTTCACACAAGTCAAATTGTGACAAAAAAAAAAAAAAAAAAAATAGAAATGAATAGGAAACTGTGGATTTTATTTAAACCTATTTCTCAAATGGATGTGGGTGGTGCTAGTTAGAAAACATGTTAGATGGAACATTTTAATGGTAAATTTGTTTCATTTACAGTAGATTAAAATAATTTTAATTGTAAATGTTGAAATAACCCAGCATATTTTAGAGTGAGGGCTCCAGGGGCAATAATAATAATAATAATAATAATAATAATAATAATAATAATAATATTAATAATAACAATAATAATAATAATAATAATAATAATAATAACAATAATATTAATAATAACAATAATAATAATAATAATAATAACAATAATATTAATAATAATAATAATAATAATAATAATAATAATAATAATAATAATAATAATAATAATAATACTTATTATTATTATAAAATATAACTTAATCAAATTCTAAAAAGTCACATGGTCACTTGGACTTTTTTGTGAAGTTTATTTATAAACTAATTTCGAGAGGAGCACTTGCTTATGATTGATCACAGCTGGTCCTGCATTAACTAATGCATGATTCACCAATCAAATGATTTCTAACTCACTACAAATAGAGTTTCTTACTTTAGTTACCTTCGCCTTGAAGAATCTCACTACTCCTCCACCTTTCCTTTCATAGGGCGGCACTGTGGCCCAGTGGTTAGTACTGTTGCCTCACAGCAAGAACGTCACTTGTCTAAAATCCTTAACAGGCCAGCTGACGTTTCTGTATGGAGTTTACATGTGCTTGTTTCCCTCTGGTTCTCCGCTTTCCTCCCACAGTCCAAAAATATATGTCATAAGTGAATTGATCAATCTAAACTAGCACAATAGTTGAGCTCTTAACCAGCAGTATATCTCTATATAGCAGTTTATAATCTGTCATCAGCAATAAATAAGGGGGGAGTTCTCGAGACCTACCTGGGCTCAAACTCCTCTACTGCAACTGCAAACAGGAGGAAGCCCCGGGCTTGAGGATCTTATGAGCTCAGGACTCTCTCCCTGGGCAGCATGCCAAACAAGTTTTATAAACAATCATCAGCTAAGTGTCAACTCTTGAAACATATCTGTGCCAAGTGGATGTGGCAGCAAAAGGTTACCGTGAGAAAACCCTCACTTATTATAGGTTTGCATTCTAAAAAATATGCTGGTTTGTTGTAAGCCAACTTTGGGTCAAATATGATGTGTGGAATATATTTGACAACAACCCAACATTTTTTAGAGTGTGATGTAATTTTTTGACTACAGGCCAAAAGCATTAAGTAGAATGAATATTTGGACATGTAGCAGATAAATGGTTGTCGTAAACAAACATTAAAGAGGATAAAGGATTGTTGTCGAGGGCCACTATAAGGTTTTGATTCTTGGTATGGAAACTGGTGAAATGTGGATTTTTAATCAGCAAGACCCTCATTGTGCATTATGGATTCTCTAGTTGTTGAGAGTACACTTATATTTGCAGTGCACTGTAGTAATGAATGAATGTATTTGATGTAGTTGAATGAATGTCCACTGTGGTTTCAGACACAGACAAAAAAGGGGCTGTCCCCTCAAAGCGTGCCTTAATTAAAGGGTCACGAAACACCAAAGCACATGTTTTGAGCTGTTGACAGTCGTATACACTGCTAAAAACACTATTAGGACACCTATATTTCACTAAAAAGTGTAAATTGGTTGTTTTTGCGTTATTTCAAGCAAATTCGTACTTCCGGTTTGAAACAAATTTTTGAAGCTGCGTCACGGTCATGACATAATAGCGTGTATTCCAGCGTGCAGACTGGACGTCTGTGCCAGAGTGAGTCTTCTTACGTCTTACAGTGTGATGCATTAATGCATGAGTAAAGCTTGGTTCAAACCAATCAGCGCGCTCTATTGTGCAACTTCATTAATATTCATTAGTGTCACCGTGTTTACGCCACAGAGACGCCACGTTGTGTTGGCAAAACAAGCGTGAAGTGTTGCTTTTATAGTTTGCTGCCGTTAAGTTTTGTTTTCATTTTCTCTCTGTGAGAGCTCAGCTGGATCACGTGTGGATTAACAGTGTACGCGACGCTCGACAACAATAACTTACGTGTTTAAGGAGGAACATTGTTTACCTGAGAGCTGTTCTCATCTGCAAACGCTGAAATCCGGATTCGCTTGTAACGTTAGTCTCCTCTTCATAAAGACGCGGCTCTAGTTGCTGGTGATTGTCCTGTCTCTACAGATTTGGTAAGTGAGCGACCAGTGCTCTTTGTTTATTCAGTTTGTTCGTATCGAATTAAGTTAACTATTACACTGAGTGCAAACATAGCACCGCATTTTGTGACCGGAATAACACACGCGGCTTTCTGACGCTACCTGCCGTGTGCATCTAAATTTCCGGGAAATGCTGAGTTTTTTTTCTCTCATTCGCCGTGCGGTATCAAACATTGCATAACAAATACACGCTTAGAGCAGATCCTCGAATCAAATATCGCGTTTGTCGCGAGGGACATGAATGAATTCCCTGAATGAAAGAGCCAAACTGCAGTTAAAGTCCAACATTTGGCAAATAATTCGACTACAGATGTCCATGTAGGTTAAACACCATCACTTTCTCATGTGTGTGTATTTTGACTCTGAAACTCGCGCGTGCCCAAATAGACACTCCCACACCCTCCCACTTTAGTTCCTCCGACACTCCCCCTAAACAGAGCTGGACACGCCCACTTTTCTGACTTTTTCCAAAGTAGAGGTGTGAAAACACCCTGCTGAAACGAGGGGGTTTCATGGCCCTTTAAGGTTATGGAGGCAATTTAGAACACAACCAAGGCTGATATTCAAGTTGATAGAAACCTCCAGGCAGGTGTTTTGGAGCTAAACTCTTCAGGAAAGAGCAGAAGCATATCTAGATACCTCTAGAATATGATTCTGAAGCATAATAACTTTGGCAAAGCTTACTCTATTTGAAGAAAAAATACTGGTTCACACTTTATTTTAAGGTACAACTATCACTATTAATAAACCACTATGACTTTTCTCACAATAAAACTACGCTGTATCCAAAATCACATGCTTGCTGTAGGCCAGGGGTGTCCAAACTCGGTCCTGGAGGGCCGGTGTCCTGCAGATTTTAGCTCCAACTTGCCTCAACACACCTGCAAAGATGTTTCTAGAAAGCCTAGTAAGAGCTTGATTAACTAGCGCAGGTGTGTCTGATAGGTTGGAACTAAACTTTGCAGGACACCGGCCCTCCAGGACCGAGTTTGGACATGTCTGCTGTAGGCCATATTGGATGCAGCTCTAGTTTGTTGCTTATTAATAGTTTTAAGCCAGTAGTTGTTGTAGGTATTGGGATTAAGGTTGTACAATAAGATCATGCAGAATATGCACTGTATAAATACTAATAAGCCACTAGTTAACATTTACAATTGGTAATTAAACTAAAGTGTTACCGAACACTGTAACAAGAAGTAATGAGTTCATACCACGCAAGTCAACAGTGGATAAGTCAATGGTTCCATTAGCAGGTTCTTGCCCACTGGGTTGCAGGGCCACACACTGCACCTCTCCTCCTCGGCTCCTTTCCTCCCTGGTCAGAGTGTGATACTGATGTCTCCTATATGTACCATCTTCATTTTGGATGGACAAGGGAAGTTCTGAAAGTTTTTTTCCATTGTGGATCCACAGAACTGATATGTTGTTTGGGTAAAATCCACTGATGTCACAGGAGAGGGTGACCGAGGATGAGTGCGAAGACGAAGGGACGACTGAGAGAGTGACCTTTGGGAGAACTAGAAGAAAGAGAGAGCAAAAGTGAATGATTAATTTCATTAATTACATGCAGTTGAGGTCTAAATTATTCGCCCTCCTGTGAATCTATTTTTCTTATTTAAACATTTCCTAAAATATGTTTAATAGGGCAAGGGATTTTTCCACAGTATTTCCTATAATATTTTTTTCTTCTGGAGAAAGTCTAATTTGTTTTATTTCGACAAGAATAAAGGCAGCTTTAATTATTTTTAAACCAATCAATACTATTAGCCCCCTTAAACAATATATATATTTTTTTCTAAAGAACAAACCATAGTTATACAATGACTTGCCCAATTAACCTACAATCACCGGCCACTTTATTAGGTACACCTTACTAGTACCAGGTTGGACCCCCTTTCGCCTTCAGAACTGCCTTAATTGTTCATGGCATAGATTCAACAAGGCACTGGAAATAATCCCTATAGATTTTGCTCCATTTTGACATGATAGCATCACGCAGTTGCTGCAGATTTGTCGGCTGCACATCCATGATGCCAATCTCCTGTTCCACCACATCCCAAAGGTGCTCCATTGGATTGAGTTCTGGGGACTGTGGAGGCCATTTGAGTACAGTGAACTCATTGTCATGTTCTAAAAACCAGTCTGAGATGATTCACGGTTTATGACCTGGTGCATTATCCTGCTGGAAGTAGCCATCAGAAGATGGGTACACTGTGGTCATTAAGGGATGGACATGGTCAACAATACTCAGGTAGGCTGTGGCGTTGACACGATGCTCAGTTGGCACTAATGGGCCTAAAGTATGCCAAGAAAATATCCCCCATACCATTACACCACCAACAGCAGCCTGAACCCCGGATACAAGGCAGGATGGACCCATGCTTTCATGTTGTCGATGCCAAATTCTGATCGGACTATCCAAATGTCGCAGCAGAAATTGAGACTCATCAGAGCAGGCAACATTTCTCCAATCTGCTATTGTCCAGTTTTGGTGAACCTGTGTGAATTGTAGCCTCAGTTTCCTGTTCTTAGCTGACAGGAGCGGCACCCGGTGTGGTCTTCTGCTGTTGTAGCCCATCTGCCTCAAGGTTGGACGTGTTGTGTGTTCAAAGTTGCTTTTCTGCAGACCTCGCCTGTAACAAGTTACTGTTGCCTTGCTGAAACCAGTCTGGCCATTCTCCTCCTACCTCTGGCATCAACAAGGCATTTGCGCCCACAGAACTGCTGCTCACTGGATATCTTCTCTTTTTCAGACCATTCTCTGTAAACCCTAGAGATGTTTGTGCATGAATATCTTAGTAGATCAGCAGTTTCTAAAATACTTAGACCAGCCCGTCTGGCACCAACAACCATGCCATGTTTAAAGTCACTCAATTGGCTGAACGTATTGAGTCGCTTCGATGTGATTGGCTGTTTAGAATTTTGCATTAACAAGAAATCCGACAGGTGTACCTATTAAAGTGGCCGGTGAGTGTAGTTACTGTAAGCTTTTAAATGTCAACTTAAGCTGAATACTAGTGTATTTGAAAAATATCTAGT